CACTGCTGCCTGATATGGTTCTGAGTTGTTCTTGTGCGACTTCATGAGAACGTACAATGTCTATTGCCTTATCCAACGTTAGATCTGATCCGGCATCAAGCAGCTTCTCTCTAACTCGTGGGGAACGGATCCCAAACACGATGCGATCACGTATCATTTCTTCGCTATTAGCATAACTGCAATCCTTTACTAGCAGCCTCAAATCCATGACGAACTGTTCAAAAGGCTCGTTTTGCCCTTGTAGTTTTTCATTAAACTTATATCGGGCGAAAATGATGTTGCTCTTTGGCATAACATATGCTTCGTAGTGATCATAGTACGTTTTTAATAACTTATGTTGGTCTTCGGTTAATGTCCATGTGTTGAAAATGTCCCTGCCTTTTTCTCCGAACCAGAGGAGGAGGTAGCTGCACTTCTTGTCTTCCCCCCTTTTTCTTTAGAGGCCCTGAGAACATAAGTTCGACATGTTGCTTGAACTTCCGCCATGCGTCGGGCAAGTTTTTTGCATCCCAGTCCATGCGGGGCGAAGGTACTCCTGAGGCGTCCATCTTTCGTCGATAAGCCTTTTATTCTGACACCATGTTGTGTTCTGCGTCGTGTACAGTGTGTACATAAATCGACATGAGCTAATTTGTTGAGCTGCTTCTTTATTCGGCAGATACTCAGAATACAGTTACAACGTGAACCGTCACTACGTATGTCCAACTACGTCATGCGTGCTGTATCATGTGACTATGTAAACGAATCACAACGTTATATGTAAATGAGGAACAGCATTCATAAACAATACATTCTGTCAGAATGTTACAATCTGTATATGGGGTGGGCAGTGGATAGCACTGCTGCCTTGCAGCAAGAAGGTTCTGGGTTTGATTCCTAGTCCATGCTCTTTCTGTATGGAGTTTGCATGTTCTCCCTGAGCATGTGTGGGTTCTCTCCTGGTACTCCTCCCACAGTTCAAAAACATGACTGTTAGCTTAATTGGCTTCTCTAAATTGTCCTTAGGTGAGTGTGTGAGAGAGAATAGTTGTGCGTCTACGTGTTGCCCTGAGATGGACTGGCGACCTGTCCAGGTTGTACCCCGCCTCTCGCCCAGTAGACAGCTGGAGATAAGTGTGACAGAAAATGGATGGATGAATCTGTATATAGCTTCCTTATTTATTTATTTATTTATTTATTTTAAATCCTCTTACAATTACTCTGTTTATGTATATATATATATATATATATACCATCTATAGTCCATGCATAAATAGTCTCTGTACACATGTAAATAAATATATCCTGTATAGCACTTCTAGATAGATGCAAAGTCTACATTTTGTTGCTTTGTACTTGTGACATAATGACAACAAAGTTGAATTCTATTCTACTTCTCTGATTAATGCTCTCCTTAGATTTCACACGTGAACTTTTTTTTTTCCACCAACCTTCTGCTGTTTTAACGTAATTATGTAACGTAAAATATGTACATTCTAAGAGTTACAAAGTGGTTAAAAGTCATACAGACTACTTTTATTATTGAGAGGCATATGCAATTAAGGGTGCTGATGTTCGTTCTTTAGAAATGTGCGACTTGATGTTTAAAATCCACACTAGAACTGGTTGCTTAAGTTGAAGCCTACTATTGCATCGCTTTTGATTCATTATTCTCGAAATTCTCTACTTGTTTTGTCTTAACGCGCTTGCCGTAGAACCAGAGGCGTCCGAAGTCCAGAGAGAAGGACCTCGCTGCAGCAAACAGAAAGGGGCGGGGACGGACCTTTCCGTCAGTCCCATACCTTATTTGGAAATGGGACTATTGCATTCCGGAAATGAAGGGGGCGCTATTTTCATAATCACTAGTATAAATGCCTTAAAGACGCGGGGTTAAGAGGAAAGGAAGAAGAAAGAAAGAAGTTTGAAAAGTTTTTGCACTGGTGTTCGGCACACGATCCATAATGCAAAACCCACAAAATCAACAAAAGGTAATTTTACCTTCTTAAAATTTTTTTCACATAGTAAATTAATGCGTTTTCTAGATTCAGTTTTTTTAAGAAAACCTTCAATTTGTCCTTTTTAAAAGGTCCAGAGAAGAACTACAAAAGGAGAGAAAGCGGAAAAAAGTTCATGAGAGGGCAAAATGTGAGGTAAGCTGTAGCTAAAATTCATCACTTTGTTGTTTTAAGTCATAGAATTTGTATTATGTCCATTTACAGTGTACTTTTGTTCTATGCTTATTTTTTTAAGTCTGAAAGAAAATCAGTATAGAAGAATTAAAAGGGTTGAAGCAGTTTTGATGTTATTTGGATTTGCATTCATCTTTCACTTAGAACATATCTGTATTTTTACAGACTCTGTGTGCTGATGACCACACCTATGCCAAAGGAGCCGAGGCACAAATTGAGGTTCATTTTTTAAATTTACACATAACTAGTAATTTTGATTTGTGTATCTTTATGTGCAAATGAGACTAAAACCCTAAATGATTTTTTTTTTTTTTTTTTATTAAAATTCATTATTTGGACAACTTTTTTTATATCATTAGAGATGAAAGGATAAGATACTGAGAGATATAAAGTATTAATTATTGTTTAATGCTCTTCACCATGCAGGTAGAAAGGATACCGCCAATCTTACAGGTAAGATTCATTCATAATCATATGTATCACCCATTCTTCCTGTATTACAGTCTTGCAATGCACCTGTTTTTTATTTTGTTTGTTTTTTTATTTTTTTATTTTCAGATGCGGAGGAGAGGAGAGTACCCTCGTTACTACTGTGATGGCATACCTGGACTTTGCCCTGAGTGCCAACATTGAATTCAAAGAAAATATAAGTTGCTTTCCACAATCTGTCACATATTGTTAGTTTTTTTTGTGACATGCCATTTGAAATCGTTTCTGATAAAGAATATTTACCTTTTGACTTGTGCAGTCCTCCTTTTTCATAATGTGTTCTTTCAATATTATTTACATTTTTGAAAGTTCCTTTTGTTGTAGCTCAGTTGATTTACATCATTTAGTTTTCATAGAAATGGTGTCGTTTCCACAAAGTTACATTGTGGCTGTAATTTGTTGGAGAGACAGTAGAACCAATAAAGTAGTTGTAAATATATTGTAACAGCGTTGTTTGACAATTGGAAAATTTTAAATGCAAGCAAAGCTAATAACTTGCAATATACAATGTTTCCTATACATTTTTGAACAATCACTGGAATCAATACAAATTTTCTTTACAAACCTGACATACAGACAAGTTGTTTATGTTTTAACAGTTAGAATCAACTTGTTTTATGTAATAAAAAATAAGTTGCAGAAACATATTGTTCAGATACAAACATAAGATTAAACGAGCAATGCGAAGGTGTAATCAGGGTGGAGGTGATGGAAGCTCAGGTGAGGAGCAGTTGCACACATCAAGCTGGACTTTATGAAGGGTGAAGGACTTGAGACCGGCGCCGTTAGGCTGGGAGGGAGGCACCTGAGCAGGTGATTGGCTGAGCAGGTGAGATGAAGACAGACTTTATTCAAAAAGGTTTTCATGTAGAATCAAAGATCATTCTCTCTGGTGGTTACCAGTACAGTGTCTACTGCCGGGATCAGAAAGTTGAAGATTATTGTCAAATGAACTTTCTAAAACCTACTTTCTGTGCGAGTCTTTCCAGGTTGAAGCTACATTTAAGGTTTTAATTAATCACTTTGGGTTTTCCTACAATTGGATATTCATGTTTTTGGAGTGCAGTTCATGAATTTATTGATATTGATAAAATTAATATGGTATTTCTAAATGGAATAGTGGGACACCAGTCAGTTTACTAGTTGAGCTGGAGTCCTTATAGGAGACATTATGGTCAATAATGATAATAATTGAGCCAGGTCACCTGCAACCAAGTATATTCTAGTTACCGAATGGCACTTGTTAAAAGTTCAAAAGTCCTTTGGTTTGTTTGTAAATTATATTCACAATGAGAATAATAAGAAAAAATATTTGGCAAATAAACAGCAAAAGTGCACCATGAATGGACGTACTAAGTTGGCCAAAATTGTCGACTAAATGTTTTACAGACCAAACCTCTTTTCCATCTAGTTCTTATTAAATAAGCCAAAGGCTATTATATTTTAGATTTTAACTTATTTATTTTAAGAGTACCGTTCACAACATCAAAATATATTATTTGAACTTCAGCACCAGCATGTATTTGTTTATATCTGTTTTCTTAATCAGCGATGGACTGGGGATCTGTCCAGGGTCAGCAGCCTTCATGACCCCACTTGAGGATAATTCATAAAAATTAATGGATGGATAAATGTGCTCTTAATGTAATGTACATTTGTCTCCAAAATATTTATTTTATTTTTTATGACTTTTGTTAGAGATATATAGGGTGTAAGGATAGATAAATACATCTCCATAATGATTCCTTATTGTTGCTTATTTTAGATTGTTTGTTACTAAGATAATTTTAAATAAAGATTTCAAAATAAAAAAGGGACATACCACGTGACAGACATGCCACGTGACATATCACGTTTTGTAGCCATTTCTTTACTGTTTAATTTGTATTTTTAATGTTGAAAGTGTTCTTGGGTGTTTTGAAAGGCGTTGTCAAATAAAATACGTTATTATTATTATAATTATTATGAAACGGTCGGTACAGAAAATAGTGTCACTAGCGCCCCCGTCAGTTCCGGAATGAAATGGTCCCATTTCCATATAAGGTATGAGACTGACAGTGGTCCGTCCCCGCCCCTTTCTGTTAGCTGCAGCGAAGTGTACTTCAGTCCAGAGCTGTGGCCTCCGAGCAAAAACAGTCTAACCAACATGGGAAACGCGCGAAGCTTTATTATTGCGCCGCTATCGGTTGGTTGTTTGTATTTAGGTTACATATACATTTACCGCTCACATAAGCTGCTAGATAAGAATGTGCTAAATAGCGACAAACTTCCAAGTTTAGTGTATCTTTACATGAAATACCTGAGCAGAGCTGTAACGCGCAGGAAAGGGCAGCTGTATGCGAGGCGCGCGCCGTCGTTTACACGGTCCTCAATTGCAGGTGAGCAGCATGAAGAAAGCTGTTTAAAGGAAGAGCAGGTAGCTGTGGAACATTTACTTTTCAGATGGTTTGTCTTTGCTTTTTTTAAGGCTGGACGGATCCTTGCTGAGGAGATTCTGCTGCGCAGCAGGATATGGTTGGGATTATCCGGACACCGAATACAGAGACATCCCGCTGTGTTTCCCGGAGGTTCTGTGCTCCAGACTCATGCTCATGTTGTTAACTGATCGCAACTTTAGGCTCAACCCAGCAGGTACGAGGAAATGTCACAGTGGACAAACTAAATCAGGAGTGGGCAACTCCAGGCCTTCAGGGCCTGTTTCCTGCAACATTTAGGTCCATCCTTGGTCCAACACACCTGAATCAAATGGTTGAATTACCTCCCTAGTATGCAACATGCAATCCTTTTAATTATCTATATACTTAATACATGTGTGTTAGGTCAAGGAGATATCTAAAAGTTGCAGGATACAGGCCCTCCAGGACTGAAGTTGCACACCCCTGGACTAGACCATTAAAGGAGTATTCAATAAACGTTGAACCTGTTAAATATGTTTCACGTTACAAACATAAATATCATGGACTATATGGATGTTTTAGCAAACCAGACTAACAGAAAGAAGGCAGTGCAGTAATTTGCAACCCCCCCCCCATTAGAAAAAAATAAATATCACGAATGCTGTGTATTCAGTTCCATTTATGCACCAGAAATAAAATCCAGTCCACTTTCATGTTCTTTTAGTATAATTCAGCGGTCCCGTCTCAGGGGTTTGAAGATGGAGAAAAGAAGGCAACAGCATTAGGACAGCATCAAGGAACAGAGCAGACAGGTCAGAGATTAAATGTTGAAGATAAAACGAGGGTTAAAACAAAAAGTGTTTAAATCCTATCACAAAGTATTTAACTAAGTAGCATTTTACTCCATGATCTGAAAAAAAAAAGATCTGAAATTCGTTAAGACATGGCTTTGCACCTGTACCGATAATATAAGCACCAAAGACAAGCGCTGCATGTCCAAGAAACTGGTCAGAGAAATCTGTTCTGATTTGATGGAACTGGAACTTATTGGGAATATACAAGGGTTAGCAGTTCAAATTGTACTGCAAAGTGTTTCTATGGTCTTCCTTTGTTGAGAAAAAGCATTCCAAGCACATTATGTTGTAGCCACTGAATCTCGAAGCAGGAATGACGGCATGTTCACTGTTAATGGGATTAATGTAAATAAGGGGACCTGAATACAAATACAGTGAGGAAAATTAGTATTTGAACAACCTGCAATTTTGCAAGTCATCCCACTGACAAATCATGGAGGGCTTTGACATTTTCTTCTTTTTCCGGAACAACTCCTTGGTTATCCTGGCTGTGTGCTTTAAATCATTTTCGGGTTGTGGATGGGTCTTCCAATACTCTAAATTAAGGAAGGAGGTTGTTCCTTCACCTTAATACAGTGCAGTCGTCCTGTGCTGAAAACCACCCCCCAAAAAATGATGCTTCCACCCCTATGCTCCACAGTAGTGATTGGACATCTGAAGCCAGTAAAACTGGGGCATGTCTAACAAAGCCCTGCTTTAATGCTTCAATTCAATTAGGTTCACAAAGCATGCTTGTAGTCCCAGTGGAGAGGAAAACATCTCTTTTAACAGGAAGAAACCTCCAGCAGAACCAGGCTCAGTGTGAGCGGCCATCTGCTGAGGCCGACTGGGGTTCAAGGAGACAGAAGCAGAGATACAATAAGCAGCTGTATGTGTGTTTCCTGTCCAGGAAACACACAGCCAGGCAGACAAGCTCCTAGCAAGCTTCCATGTCAGAGGATGAAGAGAGCACATCCAGCCAGTCACAGTCAGAGAAACAGGACTACACTGAAAAACAGGCCGATATGGAACATCTATAAATAAAGGTGCTGATTGCTTGACCAGGAAGAAGCGATGCTACGCATTACTGTTAACATGTCACTGCTTATTTTCTCGTGTCGGATTTCAAAGTAAAAGTGCAAAGAAACTTTCCGCTTTGTGGGTTGTTGTAGGTAGTTGGGTTACAAATCAGCAGAGATACAGCAGCATACAGTATAATAATAATTACACATGTATATAACAAAAACCTTTTTTTTTTGACAATATTAGACACATTGCTGTTTACTGATTTTTTAAATATGAGGGCTGTCATAATGTCTGTGCTACAGTAGATGTCACTAGTGAGCAATGAATGAAGCATCAAGTAATGAATCTTTAGGTATGAAGGCTTCATTGCTTTTTGAGGCTTCATTTTGATCACTACTCCATAGTAGGGGTGGTTTTTTTGGGGGGATTCTGCATTCTTCTTTCTACAAACACAGCAAGTTTAAATTAGACCATAATGTTTGATTTTAGTCTCATCTGACCACGTAACTTTTTCCTATGACTTCCTCTGGATTACCTCAATGATCATGAGGAAACTTAAGACAAGTCTTGAACTGTGCTGACTAAAGCCATGCATGATTTTAAACCATGATGTCTTAGTATATTACCAACAGTAACCTTTGTAACGGGGGTCCCAGCTCTTTTCAGGTCATTGACCAGCTCCTCCTGTGTAGCTCTGGACTGATTCCTCACCTTTCTTATGCTACATTCAGACAGCAGGCTGCAGAGGCAGCAGATGCAGCAGATGCAGCTAGTTTACATTTAAAGTCAATGGTTGATGTGCATTAAGGCACAGCAATAGGTCCCGCTGAGCAGCTGAAGCCGCACCTTGAGAGCTTCTGAGCAACTGAAGCATGCAATGTGCTTCAAAAGCAGCAGCTGCTGGATATGGAATAATTTAACTTTTGCTGCTCGACGCCCCACATCCACCAATCAGAGAAACTGATCTGGGAGCTGGCAGGGAGAGACACACAGCACTGCTGATGAAGATCGCTATGGTCACTGCTCTGAAACAGTTTATGAATGTCTAAATTAACTTAAAATGTAGAAACTTGCCGGCAAAATATGTTAAATTTTATCATTCTGGTGCCTGCAATTTGGATTATGTATGTGAAAAACACCTTCCAATCGCAGCGAACAGTAGTGGAAAACCGCAAAGAGGCTGGCGGGCCAGAGGCTGCTGTAGAACGTGATTCCTAGTGACCGCGCACTGCCGCTGTACAGGGGTCTGAGCGGCTCTGACAGCAAAATATTTGAAGTCAGGATCGTAATCTCGATTAACTGACTGTGCAGATGAAGTTTTCAGGTGGACTTTCTCACTTAGCATATTAAAACTACTTGTTACCCATTTATAACAGCTAATATAGTAAAGCCGCGGCAGATGCATCTGGGCACATTTATTGGACGTCGGATCTTAAGGTGGACAGGCATCAAAAATGAAGCAGCAGAAGCTTTTTGCTGCTTGCAGTGCTTTCGGTCTGAACTTAACATTATTCATTAAAATAAGTCAAGCAATTCTCTCGATTTCATCCGCCACTGTTATTGGCAAAGAAAGGATAAGGTAGCTCTGCCCAACGTGCATTAGAACTAAACTTGTACAAGCTTTAAAAATGAAAAGCGTGTATTTACTGCTTCTGCTGCTTGCGGTCTGAGCATCAGGATCTTCTTCCAGTTGACGCTTCTTCCTGATTCGGTTCTCCCAGTTTCTAATAATTTTTTCAACAGTATAATTTTTTTCACCAAGCTGCTTGGCAGCTGCCACTAATGATGTTAAGCTTGACACAGCTTTGAACGTTTTGAAGCAGAATTGTCACTGAGAAGTGTTTCAAGCGCACTGCTGTGAGCGAGGCCTTGTAACATTCAGACTTTGTGTCGAGTTTCACAGTGAATTCGAATAATATGGGCGTTTCAATCTACTGAAGTATTTAATTGCATCAGAGTCAAGGCTCAAACCACAGATTTTTCCATTTACAGTTTTATTTAAAGAGGAAAAAAGTTCTAGTTTAGAATAGCTTCAGAATAGTTTGCTACATGCACATAGATCTAACATAGATTGAATTATATGTCTGTATCAGCATAAAAAGGTAGTAAATACTCTTCCAAGGAACTGCGGGAAAGGATGACCCTGGCTGATTTCCATTCGATCTTCTGTTCTAGGTTTGACTCGTGTGCATCAGAGTTTGAAAACCTTTCTACCAATCGATGAGGTGAAGAAAGGTCCTTTTATGCTGCAGGTCAGAATCAAAGGATATCGGAAGACTGACTCAGGAGTCGAGGTGGGCGTCTGTTTGTCTGTTACATCCCGTTCTGGATGCCCTGTGTGGGAGAGCGTCCTAACTTTGCTGTCCAAAAACAGGCTCCATAGACACTTACTGAGAAAAAAAGGCAAGTGTGACCAATATGACAGTTAGCTATGACAGTTTTATATAAAAATGAAAAAAAAAAACTGTCCTGTGTGTGTGAGGACATTTGGATGTTCTTGTTCTAGAAGAGCAACCAAATGATGAAGAAAACATAAAGCGGGTGGAGGTCAGAGTTCCCAGGACTACCGGCCTGCAGTGCTTGTGGTCCTTCACCGACTACTCCCCACATCGCCTCCTCTCTCTGCCAGCCATGATCTGTGGTCTAAAGACTCAAACAGCACCAAGGTTCTGGATGATGTCGGTCTGCTTGGCCGAAATAGAAAAGCACAAAGGTAGGACATCAGTCAATCTGTGAAAGTAGAGTAATAATCTGTGGGCGGAAAAGTGATATAAAACTGTAACTTCCACATGCTGACAAATCTTCCACATGCTCACAGGTTACCTGTGGAGTACCACAGGGATCAGTGCTAGGACCAATTCTCTTTACTTTATACATGCTCCCAATTGGTAGAGTTATTAGACAGCATGGGATTAATTTCCACTGTTATGCTGATGATACCCAGCTATATCTGTCTATAAATCCAGATGAAGCTAACCCATTACATAGATTACAGGCATGTCTTGAAGACATAAAAACCTGGATGACTCTTAACTTTCTGCTCAGAAGTTATAGTCTTTGGACCAGAGTCTCTGAAAAAGAAGCTGATTAGCCAGTCACTTCATTTGGATGGGATTAAACTGATTTCAGATAATAAAGTAAAAAATCTTGGTGTTATTTTTGATCAGGACCTGTCATTTAAATCCCATATCAAAGAGGTTTCTAGAATATCCTTCTTTCATCTGAGGAATATTGCAAAAATTAGAAATCTCCTGTCCAGGGTTGATGCTGAGAAACTAGTCCATGCATTTGTTACTTCAAGGCTGGACTATTGTAATTCTTTACTATCAGGAAGTCCACAAACTGTAGTTAAAAGCCTTCAGCTGATCCAAAATGCTGCAGCCAGAGTTCTAATGAAAATTAAAAAGAGAGATCATATCTCGCCTATCCTGGCTTCTCTTCATTGGCTTCCTGTTAAATCAAGAATAGAATTTAAAATCCTCCTTCTCACATATAAAGCCTTAAATGGCCAAGCTCCATCTTATATCAGAGATCTGATTGTTCCTTATGTTCCTAACAGAGCACTTCGCTCTCAATCTGCAGGTTTACTAGTGGTTCCTAGAATTTCTAAAAGTAGAATTGGAGGCAGATCTTTTAGTCATCAGGCTCCTCTCCTGTGGAACCAACTACCAGTTTTAGTCCGTGAGGCAGACATCCTGTCTACTTTTAAGGCTAGGCTTAAAACTTTCCTTTTTGATAAAGTTTATAGTTAGAGCGGCTCAGGTTATCCTGAGCTATCTCTATAGTTATGCTGCTATAGGCTTAGACTGCTGGAGGGCATAGGGACCCCCATTTCATTATTCTGCTTCATTCTCTCTCTGTTCTCCTATTCTGCAGAATCTGTTAGTTCAATCTCTAACGTTCTGCTCTCTCTGCTTTTCCTCAGGGTAGCTTTGCCTCGTCTGTTCCTGTTTGGCTGTGACGTCATCCTGGAAAGAAACATCAGCTGTGCTGCTTCCATCAACACCCTTGTTTATAGATGTTGGAGATCGGCCTGTTTTCCAGTGTAGTCCTGTTTCTCTGACCGTGACTGAGTGGATGTGCTCTCTTCGTCCTCTGGAATGGGAGCTGGCTCGGAGCTCGTCTGCCTGGCTGTGTGTTTCCTGGATGGGGCCGCCTTTTACAGCTGCTTTTTGTGTCTCTGCTTCCGTCTCCTTGAACCCCAGTCGGCCTCGGCAGATGGCCGCTCACACTGAGCCTGGTTCTGCTGGAGGTTTCTTCCTGTTAAAAGGGAGTTTTTCCTCTCCACTGTCGCTACAAGCATGCTTAGTGTGAGGGATTGTATTTGAGTCAATGAGTCAATGCAATCAACTGGTTTTCCTTAGACAGAAAACTTTGTATCAATTTGACTGTATGATCTGGTTGAACTGTAAAGTGCCTTGAGATGACATGTGTTGTGAATTTGGCGCTATATAAATAAACTGAATTGAATTGAATTAACTGTCCTATTGTGTCTCCAGGTGTTGAAATCCTCACAGCTCCTACCAATGTCACCGTTCAGTTTAATGAGACTGAGCCAGAGTCAGGAAAAATAACAGTCAGGTTCTGGGACACCAGCAAAGATTTGGATCAGTCTGTTGACAAAGACCTACGTTTCCAGGTGCATCTGCAAGGACAGAGCACCTCTCACATGATGGGACTGATTTCCAAGGTTTAATTACGGTAACACGGATGATTTAAATTTTTGCATTTTTTATTTCTTCGACTTGGTTAGTTCTGTTTTGGTCTGAACAACACTTTAAATACTCCAGTTTTCCATTAGGCCATCCACCTCTCTCACATGCTTGTGTCACATTCTTTACCAAGTTGCTTCAGCTGTTTGAGGTTTTATTTCTGCCCAGGCGCCTCATGTTTGAAGACAGAAAAAGCCATCGAACCCAATATTTCACTCTCAGGTCTGCATGTGTAAAAATTAATGTGTGGTAAAATATGTAGGCCTCTGACCTGTTTTAAGAAATTGCTAACTAATTGAAGAACATTATAAAGAATCCTGAGCATCCTCTTCCATCAGACTGCCGAACCACAGAGATGGCCAACGTACTCACTTTCCATACTTGAGTAAAAGTACAGATACTTGTGTTAAAAAATACTCTGGTAAAAGTGGAAGTACACAAGTAAAAGTAACAAGGTACAGGCTGTAAATTTACATAAAGTATAAAAGTAAAAGTAGAAACCACTTTTTTCATGTCGTTGCCTACATTTTAAATGGATGTCTGCCAATAGGACTAGATCTACGTTGTGTTCATTTTAAATCATCTCGTCGTCCATGCTACTATTCTAACGCCACCGCCACCAAGCTGCAATGATTTGCCACGAATGAATACCGCAGAATCTGTCGATTCATCTTGTAGTGGTGCGTCAAATTCAACGTAGATTCCCATCCAATTAGATTGAATTTGGTATTGATGACGTGAAAAATAATAATGGTAACTCCATTGAAATTATTCAAAACTAAAGTAACGAGCCAATTTTTTTAAATGTAAGGAGTAGAAAGTACAGATATTTGTGTAAAAATGTAAGGAGTAGAAGTAAAAATTTGCCATAAAAATAAGTAGTAAAGTAAAGTAAAAATATCAGAAAAATCTACTTGAGTACAGTAACAAAGTATTTGTACTTCGTTACTTCCCATCTCTGCCGAACAACAACAGAGTATCTTCAACCAAAGGCTTCTCCATAAGTCAAACCACTGCAGAGGATCCTTTAATTCAATTCAATTCAATTCAGTTTATTTATATAGCGCCAAATTCACAACACATGTCATCTCAAGGCACTTTACAGTTCAACCAGATCATACAGTCAAATTGATACAAAGTTTTCTATCTAAGGAAAACCAGTTGATTGCATTGACTCATTGACTCAAATACAACCCCCCACACTAAGCATGCTTGTAGCGACAGTGGAGAGGAAAAACTCCCTTTTAACAGGAAGAAACCTCCTTAATCAACATCTGCAACCTGTTGAAGAACCCCTTAAAAATATGAATATGAATACCTCTCGTAGTGTGGACAATTCTCACTGTGATTGCAGCACAGCATTGCTGAGCTCCCAGGTGAACTGATGATTTTCAACATTCAAGGCATGTGGTGCTTCTGACCCTGGTGGACCACTGACAGCATAAAAATTGTACCAGAGGAATGACTGCTGTATAATTCTACTAGTGATGGGTCCATGTCGAGCCCATAGAACGAAACACTATCGGTGCACTTGTCGTTTCAAGAAAGTCATGTGACCAATACAGGAGTTGTCTCTAAATGACCGACTTACTAAACTATGTGTTTGAAAACGTATCTGTCAACATGATGCATCTGCTTAAAAAAATGTCTCATATTTTGCTGTTTATCATTAAAATGATCAAGAATTTTGGAGCAGCCTAAAAGGAATAGGTACATTTCAGCCGTTGCTGTTGTTTATTTTCATTTTCTTGTGTCATCCTGTTCCTCTCAGTTATCACTCAACTTATCTGAATTAAAGTTCATTTCAAATTGACTCTTAGCTTATATACCGTTTTTACTATAGTTAATGTTTCAAAAATATGATTTAAAATCCTAGTCCACAAGCATCATTCATGTTCCCCTTAATTTTCACGTTATGATAGGCTATATGTTTACACTGTTTGTATTACATTGGCTGTATCTAAAAATACCAAAGATATTTTCAATTTAAACTTAGATATGAAATAATACAATATAATCTACAATAACTTTAATTATGTTGTTGTGCCGAAGCCATTTTTTTGGCAGTATAGATATGATTCAAATTAAAAAACTTTCCATGTAGGAAGAAAGCCAAAAACACACAAATAACAGATATATTTGTAACTAGTGTTGCACCGATGCCATTTTTTCACCCCGATAGCTGGCTGTGCAGTATTGGCCGATACGGATACCATACCGATACCATCTGTTTTAAATTGATGTGTGTGTGTATATGAAGAACTGCATACTACTTTGATTTAAATAATTGCCATCATGGCTTTGTAAAGCTACTGCCTACCTTCGTGAAGCAGGAAAAAGACTAATACAAAGTGAATCCAGTAGAACTTTTTATTACCTACCTGGAATGGGTGACAATAGTTGAATAAACTTTTGGCTCTCAAAATGGTATCGGTGCCCTATTTGTTGGTACTCGCGATACCGATACCATAATTTTAGTGCTGGATTGGGGCCCCGCCCAATACTGGTATTAGTGCAACACTAATTATATCATTGTACTAGGTCATCAAATTAATTAAAGCTACAGTGTGTAATTTTCAGCGACATCTAACGTCCAGACTGCAGACCGCAGCAACATGAACATCTCCCCCCCACCGGTTCTCCCCCCCAACAGTACGGCGAGCGTTACGGGACAAAATGTCTTCCACGACGTTCGCATCACCTACCTTCTCAAGTGATGAGGTTTGTTTACATAGATAATTTTACAGATAGTATTTCATTAGTCTGTGTAGGGTATAGATTTCATGTAGACTTAAACAACTTGCCGTAGTTATTTTCGAGCGTAATGGGCGATCTTGCAATCGCTAGTTTGTTGGCTCTGCGCTGCCGTAGCGCAAAGATGTCGTCCTCCATGGCTGCGAGACCCGCTCCTATGTAATTAGAAATAACGAATTCTAAGGCATTAAGGTTAAGAGGCTGAGCTCGTAGATGATTATAAATAACATAGTTATGTATAATATATTACATTTCTGACTGTATATCCCTGTAATTATTACACACTGTAGCTTTAAGTTTTGTCTGTCAAATAGGCTTCCTGTAGTGTCTTTAAATGTCCAGCAGGTGTCAGTATTCTGGGAGACAGTATCAACGCACTATCAATACAGTTTGGCAATGTGATGAAATGCTTCAAGATGCTTCATGAACCCATCACTAAATTCTACTCATTTCCTAAACCTCCAACACTGCACTAGTTTTTATTAGTCACTGATTCTGTTTTTTTCTTCCTTACCGACTGCCTGAATGGTTATCTGGAACCTGAAGCTGCCCTGAATTTCATACAGGATGTATGAAGGAAAGGTGCATCAATATTATTTTTATCTGAATGTTGATTGGAGCTGCATCTTTTAAGATTGTTCATCTTAAATAAAATCTTAACTTCTGATGCTCTCTTTAGGTGCTGTTACTGCATTTTAATAGGGGTGGGCTCCAAAGTACAACTGGGCCATTTCAGCTTAGTCTGGTGCTGTTTTTTTTTAGCCTTCTCCACCCCATGCATGTAGCACACCTTCTGCTTCTAATAGGCTGATCAAATGCCTGCTTCTACCTTTCCTCTTAAATTCTTTAGAAGCAGAAAAAGTTGTACCTAGTGTTTCCCATCACTTTGTTTCATGATGTTTACAGACTCAAAAATAATACAGTCTGAATTGCATATGATACAGCAGGTTTGAGGTAAACACTAATGTCATTAACCAGTTACTATTTTAGAGCTTTGTGCATTAACTTCAGTTTTTAGCTTTTGGTCGCTGGAAGTCTGATGTCAGCACTCCCGTCGGCTCCTATTTCAGAAAATTATGCAGGTAGACAGCCCAGAATAACTGAAACATATTAGACATACAGAAATACATTAAGGCTCTTAAACTGAATGAAACTAAAAGATTACTGGCAAGGTGCACAATGCTTTGTACTTGAACACTATGAACTTCCAAATCTCTAAAAAAGAAAAACTTAATAGTATTAAATATTAAAATAATACTAAACTTAATAAGTAATAATTTTCTTGTTATAACAAACTCCTAGTATTTTATTGGGATTCCATGTCATAGGCAGGGGGAGATGAGGAAGAAAATTACCAACCCAAAGCCCTTTTATGCCAGTATAAACTGAAAACTGCACACTGAGTCAATGCTATTAGATCTTAATGTTCTGTCAGTAACAGAGTTTTTACTTTTAGATTATATTTCAGCCAGTTTGGCAAATCTGAACTGTAAGTTTTGTGCATTTCTTCATTTCCAGGCTCAAATTCAACATCTCTTGTAAAGAAAAACATAGCCACCTATTTTCTTACTCTGCTCCAACTATGTCTCTCTAACACAGATGTTTAGATCTAGAACATTTAGTTTCACCTCTGGCTATATGTTTAAATTTGCTGTACTTCTTGAAGTCAGACCTCTACACTTGTCTATGCTCTTCTGCATAGGTTTCCCTTCAGGGTTGTGTACACTGTAATCAGCTTCACCTTATCCACTTGCAGAGCTTTACTATTTCTACTTAGGAAATGCATCTCCACAGGCTCCACTATGTTTCACTCTGAGTGTTTTATTCATAGCAATGGGTTTAGTGACATTCTGTAGAATAAAGGGCTGGTGGAAGTAAACATATTAAAAAAACACTTGGTTCAGGAAATCTCTCACTAACTTCAGTCATCATCAAATATTTTCGACATATTTACAAAAATCAGTTGATGTAATTAGGGAATTTTATTTTCCTGTGGCAAAGTGTCTGAGTTTCATGTTGCCAGTCAGACTGGGCTTCTGTTGAGTGCTGGACATTTTGTAGACCTATTGTAGACTTTGTGGGTACCATGTCTACACGCTGACCTTATTAGATTAAAACAAACATCATTCCTGCACTTCTCAATATTTCATCACTTCTTTATTCAGTATTCAGCTTCATGGCTCTGAGAGTCTGCCTTCTTGGATTATTCATATGAAAACCTTAGTGCTTGGCACTGAGAGGAGTGGCTCATGCATCGCTGCACTGCTAAAATATTTTAGTTAAAACAAAGGCTTTGTTCCCAGCAGAAAGAGAAGGAATTGTCTCTATTTGGGCTGAAACAACAAAAGAAACTGGGAGGTCAGTCACAATGCCTCCTGCTGAATACATTATTTTTAACTGATGTTTGAAAGTGCAACTGGGTTTCATACAGATGGTTTACAGAGTGCGGGTGTTTTTAAATGTGTTTTTCAATCCAAATGCACACAGACAAGCATGCCCCCAGGCAGAAATGCAAAAGCACTGTCACTGAATGACTTGAGAGTAAAAGAAAAAAAAAAGACTTCTTATCACTGAAGTTGGAGCACATTGTAATCAAGTAGCTATTGTGAGCTAAACAGCAAGTACAAGCAGTAAGAAAAGAGAACCATTGATTCTAGCTTTCTCCTGACCGCCTTCAGATCAACAGCAAAAAGCTCTCTGTGTCTATGTCAACACATTGCCCTGTACCACATGTGTTTTATTTATTTCTGTTTATCTTTAGTTTTGGAAAAGCGAAAATAAAATACATTTGTTTTTTATGCTTTGTATCTCAATCTTTATTTAAGATTAACAACCTTTTGAAGTATCAAAAAACCGCTGCTGCACATGAAAGGAAAACAAGGACTTGCATGAAAGCATGACCGCAGTACCCCAGGAGTAGGGAGTCATATAAATCTGTATCAGATGTGAAGCATGCATTCTTGGTTGAGTGAAAATAAAATAAAAACCAAACAAACCATGAAATACCGACCTTCTGTGATATGTTTTATTGTGTGTGGTTTGTTGTATTCAGCTGTTGTTTAGAGCATATGGCCTCTCAATACGTTACTGACCGCCTCTTGATTTACTCTCCGGCACGTGCTTTGAGGTCTGGGAGCCACCCTCAGGAAATTGAGCCTAAGATGAGGATTAAAACTGGCCGGGACAAAGCCTTTTCCCATACTTTGGTATACTCTGCCCCTCCATATACGAACAGCCTCCACAACGGAGTGTTTTCAGTCTTCTCTTAAGACCCACTTTTACTCTTTGGCTTTTGAAACAGCATAATCTCTTTCTTTTTTCAGACATCCTGGCGGCAAGTCTAATAACCAAACACAAACACACGCACACACATGAAACCTATTCAAAGACTTGTGTAAATCATTACATCTGATATTACCATCAATCTAGATTATGTGACCCAGGAGAAGAAAAAATGCCTAATTTACAGAAGCACCAACTGTTGTCTTTGCACATCCTGGAACACTTAAGATATTTAAAACATCCAAAAGCTACCAGAAAGCTAAACATAAAGACTTTCAACACTACAGTTCTATGTACAGTAGCGCATAGGATTATACCATCTAATTAAAGACCCGATTCAGTGGTGCTTCAGATGTTTGTAAAGTGAGCTTCTCAGGAGGACAACCGTGGCAGCCAATCATACAAGAGAAGACGGAGGGCCAATCAGGAGCTTAGCGGGACCCCAAACTCAGGGAAGAGGGGTGGAGTTTGAGCTGCAGTTTTTCACTTGGTGATAGTGCTCAACGTTTGTCATGTACTGTAGCATAATATTGTTTTTGGACAGGAGTCCAGAAATGCAGGAGTCCAAAATGGACTTTTTGAAAAAGTGCAAAAGTATTTGGTTTGTGGACTTTTGCTTCTGTTGCCTTTTGGATAATTAAAGCAGCTGAAACCTTTAGATCATCTGCTGGAGCTAAACATGAAATAGGTCTCTGACTATTTTTTATAAATAAAATAACATGGCTTTTCTTGCTGAGTGTTGTTTTATTTTATTTTACTTTTTTTAGCACAAACTCTGTTTTTTGTTTTAGTCTCTGTCCAGGAAGTCTCTGCAACCACAACAGCGCCGGCGAATCTTGTAGGTGGGTTGCTCACCTGCCCTGGAGCAAAAAGAATAAAGGTGGGCAAGGCTACACTTGACGGTTGGACTCCACCGGCCTTTGTCACCGATTCTGTTCATAACTTTTACGGACAGAATTTCTGATTGATAGGAAAATTGGTGCGGTGTCTGCTGTGAAGTGTGTGCTGCACCGGTCTGTTGTGGTGAAAAGGGAGCTTCAACAAAAGGCAAAGCTCTTAATATACAGGTCGATATAAGTTTCTACCCTTGTTATGTTCCAGAACCAGATCCTGAATACAAGCGGTCAAAGTGAGTTTTCTCTGTAGTGTGTCTGGGCTCTCTCTTAGAGATCGGGAGAGAGGGGCGGACTCAGATTAGTCCTTCTTCTCCACGTCGAGAGGTGGCTTGGGTATCTACTCAGGATGCCTCCTGAATGTCTCCCTGGTGAGTTGTTCCAGGAAATCCAGGACACGCTAGAGAAACTATGTTTCTCGGCTGGAGCTGATGGATGGATGGATGGATGGATGGATGGATGGATGGATGGATGGATAAAACAAAAAAAGAAATTGAAGTTAGGTGGAAATAGAGATGGAAAGACTATAAGGTGTTTCGGTTTGAAGTTTCTATAGGGATATATTGCATCATTGCAGCGAAGCATGGAGACAATCAGCATGTTGGGTTACTGTCAAATCCTCCAGGAAATTGCAAAGAGCATTCCTAAAGCTGTGCACAAGAGGGAAGCTCCAATACCTTCTGATAGATGGCCGTGTTTACTATGTACACTAAATAAAAGACAGCAGACGACATTACTTCAAAACTATCAACTTCAAGCCATATATATCTCTCTGTAGTAAATCTGTCAGTCTATTTTTAATGTGTCTATATATGACCAAATTACTGCAGAAGCCTGTATGTAAAAATATATATATATATCTACCTTACATCTTACAGTAACATCTTTATACTCCAACTGATACAGAAAAAGATTACACATTTGTAACCAATCCTGTTTATGAATATGATTGAAGGGCGTGGTTTGTTCTCCGAGTGCCTCTCTGCAAGCTGGAGCAGTTGTAGTTCTTAAAAGGAGGGCTTGGCTTTTGTGACGAGTCTTTGTTTCCAGGATCTTTGTCTAAGAAAATGTTTGAAGTCTGCTGAGAGGAAGGTCAGAAAGAAGCTCACAGCCCGGCTAGGATCATCCCTGACCACAGAAGGGTTCGGCTCTGAAAGCGTCAGGTAAAAGACATTTTTAAAGTGGCTTTTGTCATCATGCTTAACCTGAATCTGCTTCAGTGCTGTGATGTGCATGTTTGATAGATCAGTCTGGAAGTTACATTTGCACAATGCAGAGAAACTAATTTATCCTCATTCCCAAAACAAAACTGTTTCATACCATTGAAAAATAAAGCAGCAATACTAACCAGGCATTTAAAATTCTTTTAATCATTTATCAGTTTTTTTTACTCCACAGCCTGTCTAACCTCAGTTGGCTGGTGTTTACATGCATATTATTCACTCATAGAGTCCCGATTCTGTCATGCATATGAATCAGTCAAGTGTAACGGCGTCATTTTGTCCAGTTGTTGTGCAAAATGCAATACATGTGCATCATAAAGCAAGAGCATAGAAACATGTCTTATCATGAATTTATAAGAATTTAGTATATTTGTTTAGTGGGTTGGCATTTATGTTTTTTAGTTCATTATTCAGATAAAGCCACAGGTTCCATAATTATTGGTACCTATACTCTTAAACTTAGCTAAAGCTTTTTAATTACATTTTATTTGTCTACATTAGCCTGATTACAGTATCTATGAAGATTTGATTTATAATCCATGTTTTGCCTCCCAATACATAAAACAATTGTTTATCTTACCTTCAGTCCCACCGAGCAGTTTTATTTTAAAGTGTAACAAATAATATAGCAATCAATCCAATTGTTGCAAAGACACAGTAACAACTGTCTAACTTTATCAATATTCTAACTGGTTTATGGAAGTGATGCCAGAAAAAGTTTTCTGTCCTATCATAAATATGAACACAACGAGTTTGTCCAACTCTATATTTACTTTACTCCTACTATGTGCTTTGATCAGATGATAGGTCTAAAAACATCTCATGCCCGCTGCGAGTCTGTTTTTGCCTGGTGTCATCAAATACTTGAAGATTTCACTTAAAATGCCTATTTGTCTCTGCCAATGCACTGGAAATGGGTCATTAGTGGTCCTTTTTAGTAGTAGAAGGATAAAACAAATAAGGCCATTAACACAGAAACAGTCTGACTTTTTTCAATTCTACAAAGAGGAAAGGATGAATGCCTCTTTCTTTCAAAGCCTCACCCTACTGGAACCTCCATGTTATTGCAAAGGAATAACGTCATGTACTAACTGGAGTACCTGTAATCATGGCAGTGATAATATTGTTGAAATATTTCCATTTTATTTCCATTTTCTCACACTTAGTCCTTGTAAGGGTCGTGACGGGGCCTGTGCCTAACACGGCATTCTATGGGCAAGAGGCAGAGTGCACCCTGGACAAGTCCCAAGTCTGTTGCAGGGTAACACAGAGACACGCTCACCCTCACACCTAAGGTGGATTTAGAGAAGCCAATTAACCTAACATTCATGTTTTGGGACCGTGGTAGTAAGCCAGAGTACCCAGAGAAAACCTGCTCATGCACAGGGAGAAAATGCAAACTCCACGTTGAAAGACCCCATGCCAGGAATCACACCCAGAACCTTCTTGCTGCAAGGCAACATTGCTACCCACTTGCCATAAACAAAGTCATGGGTTGGACTCTTTTAAATGTTGGGTGTGAGATTTGACAGCTGTTATGAAAGATTCATATCATTACTAGGAGGCTAACGAATAACCAGCATCTGTGGGTCTCACTATGTCCTCTACACCCAAACCCATCCTTTTCAGATTGCAGCTTTTTCACTTCAGGTGGGCTGTTTCTACAAAAGGAAATAGAGACGTTCTTTCTAAAAAGATTAAACAATCAGTCTCCTTTGTGTAGAGAACAAATCAGCTGTATCTGTCTTCAAAAAGCTAATCCTCTGGGAGGGAAAGTTATTTTCTGCTTCTTACAGGAATGTAGGCGTTTTATTTAAAGAGTCTTGTCCAAAGTGACAGCTGTCTGGTTTATGAAAAAGATCCACTGCACTTACTATTATGACTTCCAGTTACTGTGCCAGTGATATATATTAATAGTGGTGAAAAGAGCTGACTTGTGCAGAGAATGAACTACTGTAAATAGAATATATCAGAAAGAAATAATCTGTCCAAGACTATCTGCAGTACTAACTTATAATTGGCACAGCAGTTACAGACCTAAATGATCCAGTAGTTCTGGGTAAAAATATGGTGTGGAATTAAATGTTTGCTTCGTCATTGTTTCAGATTTATCACTCTTAAACCCACTTTGATAAAAATGCATGATAGGCTGGTGGTTAAAGAAAGGTGTGTTGTCATGGTTGAGTGGAGGTTTTTGAGGACCAAAATGCAGAGATGAGGAGGCGAGGTGAGTTTTGTTGATTTGATCAGGGAGCAAAGGAGAGTAATTCAAGTATTCAACACAGCTAGAAAACAACTACAAAGACACCAAATTACAAAAAAATAAATGAAAATAAACCAAAACAGAGGGCAGAACCCTGACAGTACCTCCTTTCAAGGGCAGATACCAGATGCCTAAAAGTCCAAACGCAAACCTAAAGTCCTAAAAACACAAAACAATCCACCCTGGCTGGGCGGACAGGAGCCCTTGAAGGAGGGGAAGAACTTAACCGAAATCAGTATCCAATAAACAAAAAATAACCCAACCAGGCTGGGCAACGGTGAGGCAGAGACTCTGGTTGCCGAAGGCTAAGCAGAATCCCAGGAGATGGGCTGTGAGGCCAGAGGTGAGGCAGAATCCGTGAAGGCTGGCTGTGAGGCCGGATGCCAGGCAGAGTCTCTGCGGGTTAGAGCCTTGGGAGCCTTGGGGAGCCTTTGGGAACATCGACTTAGGCACAGAGCCTTGGGGACCGCGAAATGTAGCACAGGTGCCTATGAATTTACGGTGCAGCTTGGGACCCATGAAGAGGCGGTGCAGTGCCCGCTGAGGAGCCTCAGAGGTGAGGAGCGCCCGCTGAGGAGCCTTGGAGCAAGGAGCTCCCTCTGAGGGGCCTTGGAGCTTTCACAGCCTTGGAGCTCTGTTCTACAACAAGATCCATGATTGGGTTCATGGGTGTCTGAATGGCAGAGAGCGTGCTCAGGGGTCTCTGGACCCTGACGTGTATTTGTGGTAATGTGGCCTTTTTGTTTAGTTGCATGTATTCTAATTTTTTGATTTTCTTTATTTTTGAACTTGTTTGCTTGTTTTCAATTTTGTGTATTGCATGTTTTTGTTTGGATTTTGTTTGGAGGCCACATTGCCACTCACACCTGGACACGCCCACAGCAACGGCACAGGTGTTCCCAATCAACCAAGCAGCGTGCCGACTGGGACGCTGATTTAAAAAGGGCTGCTGGTTGGTTGGGGAGAGACACACCTGACATGGGAAGGTTTGGTTGGGGAAGGCCGATCATGGAGGGAGCCGGACGGAGCGGGTGAAAGAGTGAAGCAGCGGGAGAGGTTTGGGGACTGACGGCAGGAGGCCCGCTGGAGCGAGGTGCAGAGACGCGCACCGGAGAGACGCGCACCGGTGCGAGGAGAGAGAGACGCGCACCGGAGAGAGAGACGCGCACCGGAGAGACGCGCACCGGAGAGAGAGACGCGCACCGGAGAGGAGCGCGCCGGAGAGACGCGCACCGGAGCGAGCGAGGTGCAGGGACACGCACCGGAGCGAGGTGCAAGGACGCACGCCGGAGAGACGCGCACCGGAGCGGGGTGCAGAGAGGCCCGTCATGGAGCAAGGCGCAGAGGCACGCTGGCGAGAGGCGCGTGTTGGAGGAGACCTCGCAGGCCAGCTACGCTGGAGAGGCCCACACGCGCAGCGTACCGGAACTAGGATCCAGCGCTGGGGTGGACGGTGCCCTCCATTATACCCGCCAAGAGTGCGTCTTTTAACAGACTTGCCCATTGACTCTGCTGCTCTCCACCATCTGGATTTTTATCTTTCTTTTAATCTTTCCCTTTTAACTTATCTTTTTATCTCTTTTTTTATTGGATTTTAATCCATTAAACTTTTTAAAGCCCTGCTCACAATCGCCGCAGTCTGTTTGGTTTTTATGGTTTGTTTTTAAGATGATCGCACCTCTCGGGTGCCACATATTCATATAAAGAGATTTGACTTGTTTAGCATAGTCCACATTTCAGTTTAGAATAGTTAAGTTTATAGATGAATTCATGTTCATTGGGATGATCCGACTGCCCCTTTGTATAATAGAGTGAATTATTGGCTGATTATGAGTTTGGCAAATTAGACCTCCATGCTCCAATTCCTTCACCTTTCATGGAATCAACAGTAAAGGCACTATTGTAGGTAGGAAAGGAGCTCCAGACTGCTTTGCTGAACCTGACAGACTTAAAATTCAAACAGACTCACCAAAATTAGACAAAAAAATTTGAAAAATGTTGTCAGGTCTGGTGAGTCTTGAGTTCCGCTGCAAAATTCAGATGGTAGGGTCATCAGCATCATGAGAGCATGGATCCATCTTGCTTTGTACCAATGGTTCAGGCTGCTAGTGGCGTAATGCTGTGGGGGCATATTTTGTGGAAACAATTTTGGCTCTGTACTACCAATTAGTTCCAACACCACAGCTTACTTTGAGTATTGTTGCAGCAGGATAGTGAAGTCATGACCAAGAATATTGCATGTCTTAGACATGACCTTTCACCGACTTACAAAGCAGAACAATACCCAGAAGACTCACCCCTCACCTGACCCACACTTCAATGAGGCATGTGACCGAAACCATCTGACAAGAGTCAACGACCCTTCAAAACGCCCTAACGATCATTAAAAGAAAAGTCCGGTCACCAAGGAATTAGGAGTGGATCATTATCTATACCTAAAACTAATACGTTTGCAGTGATTTAATAATTTTTGGCTTTAATCAATAATAAAATAAAAACAATGATTTTTGTTGTGATCACTGAGCCCGGGACCGGCAAAATCAATGGGAACTACAAGACACATCTGCAATGAACTACAACTGTTTTAGATTTCGAGAGGACTTCACTATTGAAATGAGAGCTATAGCATTGTTAGTTTATATAGCTATAAATTGACAATACCCACGAGCATAGCAGTCGGATGTTGTAATACATCGGGTAAAAGGGGGAAAAAAATGTGTTAAGTCACCTTTCTGATTCATGATCCTCCAGTGACAGGTTCGTCATTGGATTACCAACTTGAAGATTGAGGATTTGCCATCGAACTTCTGGCCAGAGAAAAAACATGTGATACATAGCCAACATTTTGAAAAAGAATGTTTTCAAGATGACTTGGATAATAGCACATTGTGACAGACACCAGATACAGCATTGGGACTTGATCAACAGCTGATACCACACCGTGATGTCACAAACTGGTAGGTAGCAGTAGTGCTCTTTGACAAACATGGATGTCTCCGGTAAAGCACATTCAAATGAAATTACTCTTAATTAAAAACACTTATCATTTAATGAGCAGTATGCAAAAATTTCCGGATTTTTTCTTTAACACCCCCAGGTCACCTCCATGGCCAATCCAGTGGGAGGGATCAGAGCCACCTTTTGTTCCCGCTAATTCTTATTAATCTCACCACTAGTTAGAAATGAAGAAGCCTCTTAGATGAGAGGTAAAACATCTTCCAGGAAACTTCACATTCAGTTGCCCAGATTAAAATTTTAAACTTGACTATGACCTGGATGACAAAGAATTTTCACAGATATAACTGACTTTGATATTGAAAGTGAGTTTCCTAGTTTAAAAATGGCGTTCAAATATGTCTGTGATTCTGAGTCTGTTCATTGTTGAATCAGGTCTAAAGCAGAATATGGTCTGAGGTGGACTTCCATTTGAAACATAGCACTGATACAACATTGTGATGATTTGATGTGATTATCTGCAAACTGTAATACTGTACATGAAACAAACAGCAGAAATTATGTTACAGCATTAAAATATTACTGTGACCATATACGGGATGATTTTTTTAAAAAGATTATTTTATAAGCTCTAGTGGCCTTTTTTTAAAAATCATTTTGAAAGTAAGCAGACAGGAAATGGGATTAGAGAGAGGGGGAAGACATGCAGTAAAGGTCACCAGGCCGTCACCACCACATCCAAAGTGAACAGTCTTGTACTGTATTTTCACATCAAATTAACCTTTTAGTTACGACTGAGTATTAGGGCCAGGCTAGAGATTTTTTTGTCTTCTATTTCAAGAATAAATTCGTAACATTACGAGAATAAAGTCGTAATATTAGGAGAATGAAGTCATCATACAACAACCTATTTCAGGAAGAAAGCTTCAGCTCAGACCACCATATGATGTACGAACAGCACCACCAAACATCAACCTGAGTCCACTTTGACATTCTGCCCAATTTGATGCTGGTGTGCTAAAAGATTTCCTTATTTGTGAAACCAGAGCTAAAGTATAACTTCACATAATCCGCAACATTCCTCATTTTAGGGAAGAAAGTGCTTCTTGTAAGAGTAATATAAGAATAAAATACAACCGGTTTCATGTAATTTTAGGACTTTATTCTCTTAATATTACGACTTTATTCTTGTAATTTTATGACTATTCTTGTTGTGACTTTTTTCTCGTAATATTATGACTTTATTCTCGTAATTTTATGACTTTGTTCTCGTAATTTTACGTCTTTATTCATGTAATTTTACAACTTTATTCTTGTAATGTTACGACTTTATTCTAGTAATTTTATGACTTTATTCTTGTAATGTTACAACTTTATTCTAGTAATTTTAGGACTATTCTCGTTGCAACTTTATTCTGGTAATTTTCTGACTTTCTGTCTCATAATATTACAACTTTATTCTCGAAATAGAAGGGAAAAAAATCTGTAGCCTGGCCCTAATACTCCGTCGTATTTAGTAAATTCTTGGAGAAGACTGAAATTTAAACTCTGCCTCAGAGTGGCAGCAGCAACAGTGGAAGCAGCAACCAGTGTTGAACCTTGGTCTCTTGCAGTTAAAAAGGTCAGCTCTTCCTTCCCTCTGTAATCATATGCTTTGACAGGATGGCTGTAAATTCCATTTCACAGGTTTTCTAGTGTATAAAAAAAGGAGGATTGTAGACTTCCACCAGTCTGGCATATTATTGTCTTCAATACCCTAAAGTTCCACATTTATCTGTTGTATCAGTAAGTATAAACAGCCTGGGAGATGGCCAGACATGTTCCCTTTACAAAAGAGAGGTTTTCCAACATCACAAACAAAAATGTACCTATAGGACCCTGCTCTTATTTTACATGATTGTACAGTTTTAATACTCTATCCACCACGAAAAGTGTATGATCTTTGACTGTATGATCTGGTTGAACTGTAAAATGCCTTGAGATGATATGTGTTGTGAATTGGCACTATATAAATAAAGTGAATTGGGTGGAAAAACTGTGTTTTAAGAGTAACGAAAAGCATTACTTTAGAATGGCAGACAAAAAGCCTGATGTCAGTTTTTCAGAAAATGTTCACACCTAAAAAGTTGTGTGTGACCAAGGAGGACCCACATCCTCACTAATCATAGTTCTGCCAGGAGGTTTTGGAACAGATCCCTGCTCAATACTTGCATAAACTTGCCTTGTTAAAGGATGCTGCAGTAAAAAGCAACAGCAAATGTCTAATGTGTATTGCTGTCATCATAGAGACTTGTTTTTTCTTTATGTCAAAGGTTGTCAAACCGATGGTCCACCTGTTCATGGATGATAGATGGTGTAAAAATGGAGCTTAATTAGGAGACCCCGTCCTAAAGCAGATAATTTGAACTTTGAGGAGCCAAATCTCTTCCTAACCTCTGTGCATTATGTTAAAGGTGTCTTAATGAACATTAAAGGTGATTTATTGCAGGTCTTCTCATGCTCCCAACTTGTTCTGTATGTAGCTTCTTTGTCAGAACTATCCTAATATCCAAAGGCCTTTTTTTAAATCAATTGGATGTATCAAAGACCTCACTTATTAGCTTTTATAAATTACTCTCTGTTTTTGTGTTTTGTTTTAGGTTAACCAGGTAAAATAAAAGAAGCTAGTGGACATCACTACCAGCACCTCCCTCTCTCCTCCACCAGGGATCAGCATTGTGTTAATCTGACGTGACTGCAACAAATGGGTTTTAAAATGTACCCCAAGAATGCCCATGCTATGGAGAACAATCCTCACACACGAAGCCGTGATGAGTCAACATTCAAGATTTCATCTGCTCCAGATCTCATTCCAAATACCGAAAAGGAGCTAAAACTGAGCACGAAAGAAGAAAGATTTTACAAAAACTCTGCACTGATCTTAGATTCAAGTAGTCAAGTGTACTCAGGGCTGGACGACAATTCAACAGAGCCACACGAGTCCCTGACAGATTCCTCCAATGTTACCTTTGTTGACAGCTACACTCTGGAGGAGTCTGTGGATAATCACAGTCTGAATGAAGTTGGGATGATTTACCTCAAGGATTTTGTGTTGATAGATGACGATGAAGATGGGGACATGTCGCTGAGAGAGAAAACAGTCACAGACTTCTCAGTCAGGGATGGGAAAGCTGCAGACCTAGTGTGTCGGAGGCTCCTGTCCACATCCACTGGCTTTGACTGCAAGGATGAATCTTCATTTCATGGTCCCACTTCACCTGAGGAGGTCGGGGCAGAGCACAAAAAGAACTGCTGTTTCTGCACCCTGCTGTGACTGTTGTAAAACCTAGACTAACTTCTTTATAGCCAGAACAATTGTTTTTAAAGTATTCATTCTTGCTGAACTGTTATAACTCTTAATAACTTTTAATATGGATTTCATTACTACTAATGGATTTAGCCTAGGTTTGATTGTATGTAACGGATAAGATATTATACATATACATCCAAACATACGTACCTGCACCAATGTTGTTGCTGATAATATATGGAGTTTCCCTAAATACAAAAACAAAGAATCTAGGTATTTCAATTGCAATTTATTTAATTGAATAGCAGTAAGTTATTTTGAAGTGGAGGTGCAATCTTGTTTGATTGATCTGCATTTATAATGGATGGTCTGAGACTTTTTTTGGTGGAGCCTCCTCTTACTGTAAAATTAGCTGTAAAGCCAGTTCTCTTTGCAAACAAGCTCAGTCAGATTGTAATAGGAGTCTTTGTGAACTTTACTTTTCAAGTTTTTTTTTTCAAAATCTTTAATTATTTAGATCTGGACTTCAAATTGACAATTCTATCGTAAGAAAAGGCTGTGATTCAAAATACCCAATTGTAGCCCTGACTAAAAGGTGTTCTTGAAGCTAAGCTTCCAGGCTCAAGATTTATACAGAGGTGTCACATAACTAAATATAAAGACTTAATTAATGCTGTAACTTCTATGGTATCTGTACTTTACCTACTTGAGTGTTTTAGTCTTTTTACTTTTACTACCTATATGTAAACACAAATCTCTACTTTTTATTCGCTACTTTCTCCAAACCAACTCATTACTTTTATACATATTGACAACAGGACATTACAGCTGCAAAAATACTGAAGGGAAATCTAGAGCCCAAAGAGAATCTGTTTATTTAGAGCCCAGCTTGTCTATAGAGAAACATCGAAAGCAACACGAATAATGACGGGTTGCATATGATAGATCAGTTTCTGAGACAGAAGACACTTCCCCCCCAATTCCGACTTTATTAAATGGTACATAATCATCATTTACATGTTGACTTTGATGAGGAGATGTTTGATTTCAGTTTGAACTAAATTTGCAACATTTATGATGTGAATACTAGAGCTTTAAAAGTGTTTCACTGCTCATGGGGGACCTCTATTCCATCCAATTTATATTCAATTCACAAAACATGACATCTCAAGGCGCTTTATAATTCAACCAGATCATACAGTCAAATTGACTCAAAGTTTTCTATCTAAGGAAAAGCAGTTGATTGCCTCGACTCACTGACTCGAAGGCAATCCCTCACACTAAGAATGCTTGTAGCAACAGTGGAAAAGAAAACCTCCCTTTTAACAGGAAGAAACCTCCAGCAGAACCAGACTTAGTGTGAGCAGCCATCTGCCGAGGCCGATTGGGTATTAGGAGACTGAAGCAGACATACAGTAAGAAGCAGAAATAAAAAAGACAGCGGTAAACCAGCTCCACAGGAAACCCCATCCAGGAAACACAAAGCCAGGCAGACGAGCTCCGAGACAACTTCCATGTCAGAGGATGAGGAGCGCACGTCTGGCCAGTCACAGCCAGAGAAACAGGAATACACTAAAAAACAGGACGATCTCGAACATCTATAAACAATGTTGTTGATGGCAGCAGCACAGCTGAAATTTCTCTCCAGGATGGAGTCACAGCCAAACAGGAACAGACCAGATGAAGCTACCATAAGAAAAAGCAGAGAGAGCATAGTTTTAGAGATTGAACTAACTAGAGACAGAATGAAGCAGAATGATGAAAAAGGGTCCCTATGTCCTCCAGCAGTCCAAGCTTATAGCAGCATAACTATAGATATAGCTCAGGATAACCTGAGCCACTCTAACTATAAGCTTTACCAAAGAGGAAAGTTTTAAGCCTAGCCTTAAAAGTAGACAGGGTGTCTGCCTCATTGACTAAAACTGGTAGTTGGTTCCACAGGAGAGGAGCCTGATAACTAAAAGATCTGCCTCCCATTCTATTTTTAGAAATTCTAGGAACAACTAGTAAACCTACAGATTGAGAGTGAAGTGCTCTGTAAGAAACATAAGGAACAATCAGATCTCTGATATAAGTAGCACCTTGGCCATTTAAGGCTTTATATGTGAGAAGGAGGATTTTAAATTCTGTTTTGGATTTAACAGGAAGCCAGAGAAGAGAAGCCAGGATAGGCGAGATATCCATCCATCCATTTTCTTTACACGCTTGTCCCAAGTGGGGTCGCGAGGGGTGCTGGTGCCTATCTCCAGCAGTCAATGGGCGAGAGGCGGGGTACACCCTGGACAGGTCGCCAGCTAGGCGAGATATAATCTCTCTTTTTAATTTTCACCAGAACTCTGGCTGCAGCATTTTAGATCAGCTGAAGGCTTTTAACTACAGTTTTACTTTGGACTTCCTGATAGTAAAGATTTAAAATAGTCCAGCCTTGAAGTAACAAATGCATGGACTAGTTTCTCAGCATCACCCCTGGACAGGATATTTCTAATTTTCTAATATTCCGCAGATGAAAGAAGGAAATTCTAGAAAGCTCTTTGATATGTGATTAAATGACAGGTCCTGATCAAAAATAACACCAACATTTCTTACTATTGCATCCTGTCTGAAGTATTAATTAGGAAAAAAAAACAGATATGGTGACCAAAAGAGGAAAATTAGCTTGTTTTCTTTGCAGAAAAGTATTTTTTAAGAATAGTTTTTAAGTTTAAAAGTTATTTTGTATGTTTTAAGGCAAAAACTTAATTTTACTGTTGTACTTATGTACAATGTAGATCTCAATCTGTAAATTTAATTTTACCAAAGTCTTTTCTCACACAGGTTTCTGTACTTTTAATTAGCAAAGAGTGAGGTTATTTATTACACATTTGTGTAAATTCATAAAACAAAACAAAAAAAATTCTCAGCATGATGCTGCCTTCATCATGCTTTATGGTGTTCACTGGGTGATGTGAAAGTGTTGATAACTTTTTAGATTTTTTTTAATGAAAAAATGAGAAACTATGCAATGTTCAAGTTTGTGCTGTGACCTAAAATCCCAATGATGTATAATGAGATTTGTGGTTACTTTTGCAAAAAATACTTTAGTGAATTATTCTAACATGTGGCCTATGAAGCAGTCCTGGACAACGCCATAGTCTAAACTCTCAGGTTTATATAGATTTATCCAGGCAGATATTTCAACACAAGTTTTCCTTCTTTGTAAAACCTTCATATGTATGAAAAATGTACTGCAACTAATACTGCTTGTTGGACAGTACTTGGGAGTGCTGGCTCAGTGGTTAGAGCAAGTGTGTCTAGGAAAGACCATGAGGGTCGCCGGTTCAAATTCAAGGCATCAAATTGGGTCTAAGCAAGATCCTCTATGGCAGAATGCTCAATGAACTCCCCATTGTAGGGAACAGATTTCTCCAAGGTGGGAAAAATTAATGAGACTGTTTTCTTTCCTTTACTCACCTCCCCTGCAGCCTTTCTTTTTTTTTGAGGAGACTTTTACTTACATTTTGAAGTTATGCACATTTGTAAGTGTTTTGCACTGAAATATAGGTTAGATGCCCAGAGTGTTAAATCCTGCAGAGTGTTGCATGCTGCATTAAATCAATTTCCATTCATAGAAATCATAAATCTAAGTTTAGTCAATCACCAAATGTACAGTATCTATTTTTTTCTAATCATTGTACACTTGACAAAACAAGATCTGATAAAAGAGAAAGAGTTAGTGAAAGCTACACATTTCATACATATCAGCATATGGTGCTAAAATAAATAAATCAAAATGAACAAAATCCCTTGTCTTTCCTTTTCATTTAATAAAAAAAAATAAAAAAAAACATCATACCAACTAAAATACCAACTTAAGAGGGAGACAAATGCCGGTTGTTTGCAGGTCGATCCATATTTAAAAAACCTTTGTTAGCGCGCTATTTTCAGTGGGAAAGAGGCTTAATAGGGTTTTTTTTTCTTTCAGCTGAAAAAGTACTCAGAGTGTTTGGATTTTTTTAAGTATGTTAGTCGGACATTATGGCAAAGACTGAATTCATTATAAGAGTTTCAATGCATCTTTCTGTTTTTTAGGTGTTTGATTCCAGTTTTCTTCTGCAAATGTGTGTCGTGAAGCCATGTGAAACAACATTTTAATCTGCACACTAAATACAAGTAAGCTCTGATTTTCTAATCAGAGCATAATGTGTTCCTTGCATAAAATCCCTTAGAAGGGATTAAATATAACATGATTTAAATATAATTATTGTTTACAAACTAAACTAAAGTAGATCTATGCATAGCTATTTTTACATGAATATTGTGTACAACCTGCTGACAGCATTAACTAACGAATTCTCAAATATGTATCACATTATATCTTCTGCGTTATCATTTGCTTAGATTGAGGTTCATAACCTGAACTGTGCACTTAGAGGTTTGGCAGAAACCCCCCCTTTAGAGGGAGGGATAGTGAAACTATTTACTGCTCTGAATGACAGCAAAACCCCAGTTAGGACCCTGCTGGGCTAAGATAGGAGTTTACCACACTTATCTCCCCCTCCCACAGCTCACCAGTTTATACTCCCCTCTGAATACTTGCACTGTAGAATGGTACAGAACGGATGTTGGTGTCAGTGACTGGCAAACACACACAAAAATAGTGTTATACTGAAGATGCTCTAGGTTTAAACAGAGTTAGGGTACTTATTTAATTAAAAGAGTAATGGTCTTTTAAAAGTTATACCAGATATGTCAGACGACAACAAAAGAGGACCAAATACATGATTTAAAAAAAAGAGTATTATGATTTTCATTTTACTTTAATAATTTTAAATTATATCTATAAAATGAGACATAAAACAGTTTAAATACCCAAACATCCCATAGACAAACTAAAAAAAGTTGACCCTATCTTTGGCTTTGATCAAAATCCAGAGAGTTTGTTAGGCCAAATATAGCCACTATCAGCTGCTGCAGGATGAGTGTGCAGTTCACCAGAGTGAGCCCGTGCCAGAGAGGGGGACTGATGAAGCCTTGACAGCAGCAGCTGCATGAAGGCCATTGAGAAAAGAAGTCATCCTCAGTATGACCTCAGTTCACCCACTCTCAGCAGTGTCTTATCAGCAGTTATCAAGTGAGCTCAGTGCCAAACCGGCACAAGAAGAGGAAGTGTAAAAATAAAGGAGGAAGGAGTGAGATGGAGTTGCATGAACAGAAGAGAGCTGCTGAAAGGCGAAGATGAATGAAAGAAACAGAAGGATGTTGATGATTAATGCTTTCCTGCTCCTCATCTTTTCAGGTGAGTAAACATATTTCCTGCATGCCATCTTTCAGGTTTGCTGATCAATAAGTGTCTTTAAATTTTTAAAATATCACTTTCTGGTGGAGATTGATGGGACAGATCTATGAAGCAGTGGTTGCACCTTCTATCTTTCAGCCATCCCACTATGGAGTCAAACGGTGCGCAATGTGTGTTCAACCTGCCACGTTAATGCCACATGTGAGGACAAGCCAGATGGCTCTGGTAAAGTCTGTAACTGCAAATACGGCTTTGTTGGAAATGGGATACACTTCTGTCAAGGTAAAAAGAAAACAGCAATAGTCATGTGAAATCAGATTAGGCCATTTCATCATAATCGGCTTTTTTCAAACAAGTTGAAGTTTCAGAGCCATACAAAATGTAAACATCTGATGACTATAACCCGACTGTACCACATGCTATTTGAATTTGTTTAAAATGTTAAAAAAAAGTAAATTTTATAAGATTAAGTTTTTCGAAAATTGTGCCTTATGGTTTTTTGTGGCAACAACAATTTGAATGTTTAGTTTTGCTCCAATCTGGTCAACATCAAAACATTTCTATGATCTAGTCATGTTCTGCTTATAATAGTAACATTTATTGTGTTTTATCCAGAGGTAAAAGTGACTAAAAACTCTGTTTTCCACAAAGTTTGAGCCTTTCTTTTAACCTAATGCCTATTATTAAAATGGATAAAATGGGCAGCTGCAAATTAAATACGGTGCCTTTCAGTGGAGTTTGTGCATCTATATTTTTCATTCTAAAATATTAAAACCATATTTATCATTGTATTTTTTTATTTTAAGTGATAGACCACCACAAAGTAAAAAGTAGTCTGTATTTAATTGATTTTTTCCTTCCACATCATGATGTTACTTAAGTAGTTACAGGTTACTTTTCTTTGCTTATAGCTTTTTTCAAAGGTAGTCAAAAATGTTAATGTTCTGATCTGACTACAGTATCTTCCTCCAAATGGTTGCTTTTTACCAACAGCTTTTTGCAAACCTCAGAGAATTTTTATAGATCTATTTGGACACTAACTGTTGTGTAGCTGCTGGACTGAATTCAAAGCAGATGGAACTAAGATGATCTCTGCAGCTTCTGCAATAATCAACATTGAGCCTATTGGCTTATTTTCTGAGAAATGCTCTACTTTTGTGTTCCTTTATCTGTTTAGGTGGATGGCCATGACTTTTTTATTTTGTTTTTTGTTTTTAGTTAACCATACTCACACAAGTTTGAACAGTTCTCTAAAAAATTATGGTGTGTTTTATAGATATGCACTCCTGTGTTGGCCTAAAATAAAAGATCCAAATAAGAAAAATTTGAAATGCATTGAGACTGGTGAACTGTCCAGGGTGTACCCTGCCTCTCACCCTTTGACAGCTGGAGACACCCCTCACTACCCCAGCAGGGATAAGGCTAGAATATAGGATTAGAGGCAATGGTTGCTGTTTCTTTAAAGATCGGTTTCCATGGATACGGTCCTCCCAGTTCTCTACTAAAGTCACTATCCCCCGTAATAACATCTGTTTAAATGGAGAACTCCAAGATTCCACTAAACAGTTTTTATTCGAAGCCCAGCTGAGAAATAGTTACCAAAATCAGCTCTGAGGCTCTTGCCATATAAAATTAACAAAGAGCTTTAAATTATGATGACATTAGACTTTTATGATCTTGGGTTACCTCCTCACGAAGAGGCGTCCACTTTCTCATAAAAGCCAGTAAAGCAAGGTGTTACCACACTTAGTATTATCTGAAGATTGTGTAATTATCAAGAGTCTAATCTAGGCGTTGCTGTGGCTTCTCCTCCAGCCTGATTACAGACATTTTGTTCTACTTCCAAACCCGGTTCTTGAGAAAAAGGATATATTTTTTGTTTTAGCTATTCTGTAATTTGAGGGAGAGGAAATAAAACATTAGAACTACCAGCTGCTGGTTTTATACCTAAAAGCATTTTAGCATGAGTAGGAAAAAAATATCTATGATAAATGGAGATGTAAAGACGTATATTACATTTAATAGCTATTTCAAACCTTTTCATGAATAATAAAGATTATATCTAACAAGCATAGGAAAAAAGAAGGTGATACCTGAGATGCCTGTAATGTTTGTGGTAGCAAAGTGACAGGTTTTGTTTTAGACACTTTGACTCGAAGACCAGAAACACCAGCTCAGTAATAGAATAGAATAGAATAGAACAGAAGAGAAGAGACCTGATGAAACCAGCTGATCATTATGCCCCTAATATTGTTGTTCTTTATAACAAGATTATATCAAAATAGGCAAAATAGTTGGTTGCGTTCAAAGCTGTACAAAAGCAGAGTGGAGCAAAACCTACACACAATACAAAAACAAATAAAGGCAAGGAACCACCTTTGCTGTTGCTCACTGAAATTTATAAAATAGCATATGGCTTTAAAAAGCACCACGTCCAAAGTTCTCACTCAGGAAGGTCTGAGAGAAAAAACACAGCAGATGACTCAAATAAAGGCAGCAGAATTTAAAGATATCTCTGCATCCAGGTTTGTTTTAGACATTGTTGTTTCTGCTGTTCTTCCAGATAAGGATGAGTGTCAGATAGGAGCCACTAAGATCTGTGGGCAGCACACAACATGTCACAACACATATGGTAGTTACTATTGTACCTGCCTGGCTGGCTACAGCCCATCCAACAACATGGCTGTCTTCATCCCAAATGATGGAACCCACTGCCAAGGTGAGTTTAGCCTTCACCTAGTGAGCTATTAAAATGTAGGTCTGAATAAGTGGAACAGATGGGTGTTTGTATAAATAATATTCTTTATGTCTCTGCAGATATTGATGAGTGCAGGATCACAGGGCTATGTGGAGAGGGAGGTTTATGCAGAAACCTTGAGGGCAGCTTTGATTGCAGCTGCCATGTTGGATACAGAGTCCACAACGGATCAGAGCCTTTTCAACCTCAGAGAGATGGAGCTTCCTGTAGAGGTTAAAAGTGTCTTTTCCCCATTAAGGGTGCTGATAAATGCATGTTTTATAATATACACCATCTTTCAGTGGTGTTCATATTTCCTTAAACCTTCTCACATCTGCAAACCATGAATTAATGGATTTAATATGACAGATCAACAAAACACAGTGCTTAACTGTGAGTTGGAGGAATAAGGAGAAAGGTTTTTTTGAATGTTGCAGCAATTAAAACCCTTCCACTTTACAGTTGTGACTTGCTTGATGTTAACCAATCCCCTAAATCATGATAATATATAATTATGTGTATTTTTCTTTATTTTCTTAAATACAGACGTATTGAACTGGGATTTGAGTCAAAGGTTCATATCATAATCCATGAAAATGTGAATTTGTAGGAAAATAGAAAATCCTTTAGTTTGTAGTGACAAAGTATAACAAGTTGAAGGGTCATGGATACATCTGCTAGGTGCTGTGCATCCTGTGTGTTTCCCACGAATTCTTTTATGTCTAGCATCAGTCTGAAAGCAGAAAATTAAAGCTGTTCCTTCTCCTGTCCTCAGTGGTTGACTGTGGTCAGCCTTCCTTAGTGGAGGACACAGTTCTCCTGTCTATCACAGGAACCAAATATGGCGACATGGCCTCATTTGGCTGTGATGAAGGCTTCGTGTGGCGGAGAGGAGACAACAGCTCTGTGTGTCGAGCAGATGGATCGTGGAGCGGGGCCACTCTAGTCTGTGAAGGTAAAATGTCTGTGATACTTTATGCCTTTATAACATTAAACCAAGCACAAAATGTCTAAAACAAACACAATTCATGTCAGTTTCAGTTCAACAGATTAACTCACCTTAAGAATGCACTTTTTTTTCACAGCAGAGAGCACCTGTCTTTATTTTTAATGTCGGTCAAATTTATTGGCTATAGGGTGGAGTGGAGATTAAAAGTGTTAAAATCCACAGTGAAAATTGCATTAATGTAACTTTTTGTCTGCTGAGTGTGAAATAATTTAAGGAACACATTTTCTTGAATGCAATAGGAACATGTTGCAGTGCGCTGTGTTGTTTTACCCAAGAGGCTGATGAAATAGTGCAGCTTTAAGAAGCTGAACCTGGTGCTATTTGAGACATTTTCTGATAAATCACTTATTGAAAATATACTATAAACGTTTATTAATATTACAATCAGTGAAGAAAAAGATAAGTCTCCCCTTAATCTGTCATGCTCACAATCAACCTGATACACTCTGGGACACAATTTGTGAATTTTCATGTAACGCAACCAGGATTCATTGTGTCAGGCGAGCAAACGGAACACAATATAAAAATTGTCCCTTTCCTCTTTATGTCAAGTGTAGTTTTTGCATTTTCTAAAATAGAAATGTTTTTTCAAATGATTTAAATTAGGTATTATCAAATATTAAAACAAAATTCGCAGAATATTTAAGTGGTGGCTCTGAGAGAGTCTATACTCGACTTTTTTTTTTTTTTATAATTTCGTCTTTCCAAGCATAGGTGGATTGCACCTTAATGCTCATTCTAAGCTTCATTTTCCCCTTTAAAAACTTTCCTCAAACTGAAACTGTTACCAGATGATGAGGCAATGACGCAGCTGAAGATCTAAACTTAGCAAGAATGTGTTCAAATCTGGAAAAAACACAAGATTTAGTACAACGAAGGCAGAGCCTTTAAATAAGGAAGTTTGATATATCATAATAAAAAAAAACTTTATTTTTCTTTTTGACTCGAATAGCTTTACAGAAGTTAAAACAAAACAGTAAGAATGCAAATAGAAATTCCAATGGACAATACCAGATTAACAAGCCACTAATATCATTTGTATAATCAGAGGTAAATTTAAGCAATATAAAACTGAAAAATATGTAAAGACAATGCAGTAATTTGTATTTTACCACACGAAAATAAAGAAAACATTTTTAAAAGGTTTTTAAATCAAAGAATGCAAGTAAACGAAACAAAAACAGAATTTGCTGAAAATTAAATTAAGTGAATATTCCCTAACATTTCGGTAATATTGCTACAACCAAAAATGGCCTTAGTTTGGTAGAAATAACCACCAAATGGTCAATGTCCCTGTTGTTGTCAAATATTTAAAAAAATCCAATGGATCAATTGAAATGATTTTAAAATGTAAATGTTTCTGGATGATTTGCATTGTAATAACAGGTTTAAATTTCACTGAGTGGATTGGAGAAGTCTGTGTTGATGGAGGAGGAAATACCTTCTTAGTGCCCCTCACTATCCCATGCAGGCCCTCTCTTCTAAGCTTTTTTCCTGTTATGTACTTTTTTGTACTTGTCAGCGTGAATAATATGTCTTGGTAAATGTTTTCCTTGTAGAGATCTTGTGTGGGAATCCTCCTTTAATTGAATTCACAGAGCAGGTGTGGAACCAAAGTTCGTCGCCTGGCAGCACAGTTCTGTATCTCTGTAAAGAGGGCTTTCATAGTAATGGAGGATACAATGTATCCATCTGTAGTAACAATGGAAAGTGGACATCCCCAACTTTGTCATGTCAAGGTAACACACAAGAAGAAAAAGATATTCTCAAGTTTCTTTCATAAACTGTCATAGAACCGTTTTGGCAAGTTGTTGCAGCAAAAACATAGCCAGTCTTTCTTACCTAAGAGTAGCACAGTGTCATTAAGCTTCCCAGCAAGAAATTAGAAAAAAAAAAAAAAATCAACTGGATCAACAGCTAAAAGATCCATTCAATCATAATGTATTTGTGGAACAACCAACCTATCAAAGGTACTTAAAAAGAGAAACGCAACTGCATGTATTATTAAGGAGAATGTCATCAAGATGTTATAGCAAAAAAGAAAAAAAAACAGGAATACAACAAAAACAAAAGTGATTCTAAAAATCTTCTAGACCTTATTTTAAGTAATCTTGGTTACAGCTGTGCTTTTCCTGCAATGATAAGTCAAAATGTAAAACACAACAACCTGTTTGAAACAGAAACTTGGTACAACAGTGGGGGTAGTTCATAGTTTTAAGAATTTTCACAAATGTACAAAACATATGTTAGCGCACAAGTGCAGAAAAGCTGTTGTACACTTTAAATTAGGACTTTTTAGCTTCTATTATTGCATATTTTACTATTCCTGTGCAGAGAAACTGATGTTCAGTCAGTTGTTTTAGAATCTTTCTAATTAAAAAATGTTTTAATATAGACTGTAAGCCAGAATTCAAATTCAAAAACAAAGATTTTATCTTCAGCCTCATAAGTTCATGGGTTCTTACTTCCGGCAACTTTCTAATGGGGTAGGAGAGAAATCTAACATTATAGATTCAGTTTTTTCAGCAAGGCTTTGTCTAAAAAAGGTGTTTTTTTTTTTTTTTGTTTGCCTGTTAAAATGCTTATAATTTAAAAACTCCTAAGGAAATCCAAATTTAGGTTATTATTTCTTTGTTGTAACAATTTTCAATGTCCTCAGATTTTATGTGATAGGAGATCTTGCCTCTTTTGTATTTGTTAGCTTTTAACCTTTCAATGGTTCTTTTTGAAGACATTTTAAATTGTTTGCAGAGTTGAGTATGTGGGTTCCAACCATATGACATTTTTAAAATCCTCCATGCTATTGCCAAACAGCTTATTCTACTTTTTATACTTCCTCTGTGCCGTATATTTTTGAATGAATTATTGAGGTTTGCTGATACCCATTGCTACAATACTGGGTTAAATATTTATTAGTTTAACAAACGAGACCTCCCTATCAATAACCAGTGTGGTTGTGTTAGTCTGTCGAAAGGAACAGAAGATCCAGATGGGTTCCTTTTGTGTTAAGGATGATCGACAGGCCATCTCTGTCATTTAGACGATGGTTCTTAGACTAAATCTGGTCTGTTCTCAATAGTCTTGATTAGATCCAGAAATACAGGCATTGAAAACCCAATTTTCTAAATTTTTTCAACGATCTGAAAATTACAGATTTTCATCTTTCACATTTTAAACAAATATAGACGTTGTTTGGAGGTAAATCGTGTCGTCTTTTCAATGTCTCTCCAACTAATTTATGTGGGAATAAACGACCAGATATATTTTTCCAAGAAATGCGGCTTTTTACCACCCTAAATAATCAACACGAAACATTGTTAAAACAAAGAAATAAACACTAGCTTCCTTAATTGCCCCGCTCAGGTTTCTAAAAATGGTTTGATTTGTGAGATGTTTGTGTTGTAATTGTGCATCATTCCCTGTCTCAGAAATGCTGTGTGGAGATCCACCTGTTGTGCCTCACACTGCACAACTGTGGGATGGCAGCTTCACCTTTGGAAGCACAGCGACCTATTACTGTAAAATAGGATTTTACCATCATGATGGTAGCAATGTGTCAGTGTGTGCAGAAAACGGTTACTGGACATTGCCTGACATTTTGTGCAAAGGTAATATTTTCTCAAAAGAATGCCATGTAGCTCAGTTTGATATTTGTATGTGAAATATCTCAATCTGCTAAATAATGAAATGTCCCTCTTTGTAGAGGTTGACTGTGGAACACCTGTATCCATCCCTAATGCAATAATGGTGTGGGATAAAATGTCCACAGTGGGCTCTAAGGTTGTTTACACGTGTGATAATGGATATATCAATGTTGGTAAAGGAAATCTGTCGGTTTGTGCTCCTAATGGAGGATGGGAAGTACAGGTGCTGGTCATAAAATTAGAATATCATGAAAAAGTAGATTGATTTCAGTAATTCCATTTAAAAAGTGAAACTTGTATATTATATTCATACATTACATACAAACTCATATATTTCAGATGTTTATTTTGTTTAATTTTGATGATTACAAATGACAACAAATGAAAATCTCAAATTCATCATATCAGAAAATTAGAATATTACTGAAGACCAATAAAAACAAAGGATTTATAGAAATGTTGGCCAACTGAAAAGTATGAACATGAAAAGTATGAGCATGTACAGCACTCAGTATTTAGTTGGGCCTCCTTTGGCCTGTATTACTGCAGCAATGCGGCGTGGCATGGAGTCGATCAGTCTGTGGCACTGCTCAGGTGTTATGATAGCCCAGGTTGCTCTAATAGTGGCTTTTAGCTCTTCTGAATTGTTGGGTCTGGTGTATTGCATCTTCTTCTTCACAATACCCCATAGATTTTCTATGGGGTTAAGGTCAGGAGAGTTTGCTGGCCAATTAAGAACAGGGATACCATGGTCCTTCAACCAGGTACTGGTAGCTTTGGCACTGTGTGCAGGTGCCAAGTCCTGTTGGAAAATGAAATCTGCATCTCCAAAAAGTTGGTCAGCTGCAGGAAGCATGAAGTGCTCTAAAACTTCCTGGTATGTGGCTGCGTTGACCCTGGACCTCAGAAAACACAATGGACCAACACCAGCAGATGACATGGCACCCCAAACCATCACTGACTGTGGAAACTTTACACTGGACTTCAAGCAACGTGGATGAAGTGCCTCTCTTCTTTTCCTCCAGACTCTGGGACCTTGATTTCCAAAGGAAATGCAAAATTTACTTTCATCAGAGAACATGACTTTGGACCACTCACCAGCAGTCCAGTCCTGTTTCTCTTTAGCCCAGGCAAGACGCTTCTGACGCTGTCTGTGGTTCAAGAGTGGCTTGACACAAGGAATGCGACAGCAGAAACCCATGTCTTTCATACGTCTGTGTGTGGTGGTTCTTGAAGCACTCACTCCAGCTGCAGTCCACTCTTTGTGAATCTCCCCCACATTTTTGAATGGGTTTTGTTTCACAATCCTCTCCAGGGTGCGGTTATCTCTCTTGCTTGTACACTTTTTTCGACCACATCTTTTCCTTCCCTTCGCCTCTCTATTAATGTGCTTGGACACTGAGCTCTGTGAACAGCCAGCCTCTTTAGCGATGACCTTTTGTGTCTTGCCCTCCTTGTGCAAGGTGTCGATGGTCGTCTTTTGGACAACTGTCAAGTCAGCAGTCTTCCCCATGATTGTGTAGCCTATAGAACTAGACTGAAAGACCATTTAAAGGCTTTTGCAGGTGGTTTGAGTTAATTAGCTGATTCGAGTGTGGCACCAGGGGCCATCAATTTTGAACCTTTTCACAATATTCTAATTTTCTGATATGATGAATTTGAGATTTTCATTTGTTGTCATTTGTAATCATCAAAATTAAACAAAATAAACATCTGAAATATATGAGTTTGTATGTAATGTATGAATATAATATACAAGTTTCACTTTTTAAATGGAATTACTGAAATCAATCTACTTTTTCATGATATTCTAATTTTATGACCAGCACCTGTACCCTCTCTGTCCTGCCAAGGTGATATTTATTTATTCATCCTTATGTAAGTGTAATGAGTTATTATTTCATAGTAAAAGGCTTTTGGATCCTTTTTTAGATTTATCAAATGTGTCTGCATACCACTCAAATACCATGTTTAAAGGAAAAGTCCGGTCAGCAATAAATAATCAATGCATCATTATCTATACCTAAAACTAATACATTTGCAGTGATTTAAAGAATTTAGCATTAATCAGTAAAAACGTAAAAACAATAATTTTCGTTGTGATCTCTGAGTCTGGGACAGGCCATTATTGCCCAAATATAGTAACACCTCACTCCTGACATCTTCCGGCAGTGACGTCACGGTGCGGTAAGTCTAGCGCCATTCTCCAAGCATTACAAGCAAAATCGCTAGATCTACTAGATCTATTCGGTCTAGATCTACTAGACACATCTGTAATCAACAACAATTATTGAACATTTTGAGAGGACTTCACCATTGAAATTTATGAGAACTTTGTTAAATTGACAATGCCCAAGTGCATGGCAGTTGGATGTTGTAATACATAGGGTAAAAGTGAAATAAATTTTTGTTATTTCACCTTTCCGATTCATGATCCTCTACTGAAGGGTTACTGCGGTCCTGGTCGTTTGATTGCCAACTTCAATTCAGTTCAGTGTATTTATATAGCCCAATTCACAACACATGTCATCTCAAGGCACTTTACAGTTCACCTTCAACGTGAAGACGGAGGATTTGCCATTGAAGGTGTGGCCAGAGAAAAAACTTAATATGTTTCCAACATTTTGAAGAAAGATGTTTACAAGATGACTTGGATAAAAGCGCGTTGTGACAAGCACCAGATACAGCATTGGGACTTGCTCAACAGCCGATAACGCACCGTGACGTCACAAGGTGGCAGTAGTGTTCTTTGACAAACATAGAAGTTTCCAGTAAAGCACGATCAAATGAAAATTACTCTTAACTGACACATTTATAGATTTAAAGCACTTTCAGAAAAATTCTGAACATGACCGGACTTTTCCTTTAAAGTGGCTTGCTACTTTAAAGGAAAAGGGATTTTATGTGATACATCAGAAGAAATAAGAACATAATTTCTAACTGAAGGAGAATCTTGGTAGTGTTTTGTACATAATTGATGAAAGCATTGTTAAGTCCAAATAATGTGAAGGGAAGCACAGCCACCTACCTACCATGACACAGCAAGGGCATGGTAGCCTAAACATTCTAAACATCATTACTAATGCTCTAAACATTTCCAAGGTGTCTGTAGATGATTTTAACCCATCTTAACACTTTTTAAAGGCATCATTTCCATTGAATCAATTAGACAAAATGATGTTATTCAAAAACAATTATTTAAGTACAAAGCAACTGAAACTTTACCCAAGATTACTCATCCACTCTCACTTTGTCCTGTGACTCAGTGAAAGGAGCTGCTTCTTCCATTCTAACATTTCAGACATGATTAATCCCATCGTTGCCATTTAGTCGAAGGTTTCCTCTGATAACAAAAACAATAACCATGAAGTAATTATTCATCAGTGAGAAGTGAAAAAGATTAGTGTTAAGGACAAAAAATCCAAGGGAATATTTTATTTCCTTTCCGAAATCATCAACAACAACAAAAATTGTGTCTTCTTTTCCATGGTTGACAACCTGCAAAGACTTCTAGCTTCTTTCCTGAGATTATTCTGAAGATTAGAAACATCTTTACACCAGCATCTAGTTCATTGGCAATAAAATCTAATTGGAAAGAAAGACAATTCTTTCTAAACCACACAAACATAGAATAAATCATTTAAACAAGCTGCTCTTTCTGGTGTCTCTGTGTTTAAACTACAGCTTAATTTAAGAAAGTTCTGTCGTAATTTTAAAAAATATGCATCCTTTTGAAAGGTGGTTTTCCTTTAAGCCTTAAAAAAACAACACATTTAAAAACAAATCAAAGCGTATTTATGTTTTAATGGACAAGACCAAAATCTAAATTATATAAAACTTGTTTCGCTAGAACGAATTGCAAAATATTTTAGACGAATTGAGACATCAACTAACAGTTGTGGGTCAACAAAGTATGAAATCAGCAGCTGACAACAAAAGTAAATCACATACATCACACTTTTCGGATTTTAACATGTTTTTAAAATTATTTATTGTTTTCCCTTCACTTTATAGTTAAGCAGTTCTCTGGGTTGGCCTATCACATAAAATCCCAATAAACTTTACTAAAATGTTTGAAATGTAACAAAAAGTCAACCTTATCAAAGGGTGTGGATAGTTTTGCAAGGTATTGCTTAATGTGAAATCAAGCTTCCAGGCTCCTCCTTTCACCCTCTGTCTTCTTGTTTTAGAAATCAGTTGCGCAGAGCCTCCTTTTATAGAGCATGCTACAATGCAATGGGATGGCTCACCACAGGTCGGTAGTGTGGTGTTTTACCAATGTGAGCCGGGATATTACACCAGAGGCCCGAAAAACTACTCAGTATGTGGAGAGAATGGATTGTGGCAGGATGTGGAGCTGTTGTGTGAAGGTGCAACTTTTTACAATTCAAGAAAGCTGATTGTTTTGGTTTTAATTTTGGATTTTTTTATAGTATAATAAAACCCTAGAAATTCATATAATTTTTTTTGTTTTGTTTTTTGGCCACATAATAAAAAAAATCAAAGTTAAAACACTTACAGAGGAATCTGCATGTTTTACTTTCTTAAAGTTTTTCTGAATTCATTTTTCAAAGGTGTTGTTGGACTGGAATATTTGGGGCTTATTTTGAGCTTTGAAGTATTTTCTGATTGTAACAAAATTATGCATTAATCTGTTTATATAGAATATTAACGGTATAAGCTTGATAAAAAAAAAAAAAACAAAGCACAGTTTTCTGGGTCATATACCCGCCTACTTTTTTAATTAAACATAGAGTAAGGCCTCATTTTAAAGAATCAAGATGCTCATCCTCACAACATGCACCCCTGGGCAATGTCCTGCTTTCTTGGTACCTAATCGTTAGCAGTGTTGAACAGGGCTGACATGTCGCTAAAACAGGCTGCTGTTCTCAGACTGACAGTGGTGCGTTCAACCACTTGTCCGCACCAGCTTGACAGCAAGAAATAAAAAGAGTTTGCTGAGGTAGAGAGATTGGAAATCTATTGAATTTACTGTACATCAGAGTGAGTGAAAGCAAAAAATACACTGAAAAGAAAATAAAAATTAAAAGGACATCAATGGCATGAATAATACTGATGGTAAAGTGTATTAAAGCAAAATAAATGTGTGAAATTTAATGTTTATTTTATAAAACAACCTTAACAGATGATATTACAAGTTCAGGGGTGCCTAATAAGTTCCTAATAGTAAAAAAAATATAAATGTAAACACATGAATATAATTACAAAAGAAAGTCACATAAACTCCTCCTTTATTGTCAGAAATGTATTTTGAAAATCAGCTGTTTGCTTTAAAAGGAACAGAGAGACCAACATTTGTAATCATATTTACTGATTTTTTTGACAATGAAATTGGATATTTTTTTCTTTTGAAACAGTAAAATTTATCAGCAACAGATTCAGCAACTGACTTCAAAAGTTTCCTTAATTCTTTGCTCCAGCAAAATAGTAGTTTTTTGGTTATTTTATTTAATGTGGTATTGGCAGATATTTGTTACAACAATTTTCATCATGTTTTGAATTCAAATTAGTCATAAATCATACTGTAGTTATATAAAAAGCTTGGCAATGCCCTCAATTCTTCCGAGTCCTAACAACACCTCTACTGAATCAAACAGAAGTAAACAAACCAAAAAAAGTCCTCCCATCAACTTGTTTAAACTTTTGTAATTTGTGAATGTTTTCACTTTGAACACCATGCATCCTGATTTCAATTCTCTGTAATACGGTAAATTGCTGTTTTCTTGTTGTAGAAATCATTTGCTCTGAGCCTCCTTTCATAGACCACGCTAACATGCAGCTGGAGGGCAAACAACGAGTCGGCAGTGTGGTATATTACCAATGTGAAGAAGGATATTACACCACAGGCCTGAGAAACTACTCAGAGTGTGGAGAAAATGGGTTGTGGCAGGATGTGGATCTGTTGTGTGAAGGTGCCTCTTTTTATCACCATGAGTTTGGGGGTCTACTGGTGTAAATGCTGGACTCCCAGTCATAATTGTGAGCCCATGAAAAGGGGATATGTTAAACATGTTTCTGTTGTAAGATTTTTGGAAAATTATAAAGCAGAATTTAAGTAAATTGGAAATGATTCATATTTCATCAGAAATTCATTTCAAAAAGAGAAACTCATTTATAGATTCAATACATTCAGAAGAACATGCAGTATTTTAAGCTTTCATGTCTGATACTTTAGATGAATATCATTTTTTTTTCCCACAAGGAGCGCATAACACAAAAGATCGTAGCTAAATAAGCTGCTGATATAATGCTGAACAGAGGGGAAATGGGTTTTTTACTAACTCTTATTTGTATACAGAAGTAAACTGTGGTCCCCCAACATGTCTTCCCAACACTAAGCTGCTGTGGGACGGCAGCAGCACACCCGGCAGTGTTGCACAGTGTGCATGTGTGGATGGATTTTACCAAGAAAGTGGAAATAATTTATCAACATGTTTAAAGTCAGGAGTTTGGGGGGAAATATCTGTAAAATGCAAAGGTAGGGTCACGTTCTCCATATATCAGACAATGTTTTTTCACCGCTGTCCCTTCCTTGATCTTCCCGCATGTTCTCCAGCATGTCAGTGCTTCCAAACTTTGCTGGGATTTGGGGTTTAAGATGTGGAGTTGTGCCAATTTCAGAAACAGCATGTGACTCTCTTTCCGTCAACTTTCAGCAATCCACTTTAACCAGCACAACAGGACACATTAGTGTGTACTAGATAGATTGTTAGTGATATAACCTGTATTCTCCTTAGGGTGCATGCTGAAAACAAAAGATGACCTTTCTGTGAGGAATGATTTATGATATCTCTGAATGCATGTTTGCATTGTTTTTTTCCAGCTGAATGTGGCCCTGTTCCCTTCCTTGCCCACTCAGAGGTAGTGTGGCACAACAGAAGTACGGTCGTCCACCGCTGTGCAGTGGGATATCACAGCTGGAGGGGCACCAACATGTCTTTGTGCAGCGGCTCTGGATTGTGGGTGAGAGCTACTCTGAAATGCATTGGTGAGTCTAAAGGTAGCAGTATGGCTGTCATCATGTGTAAAACAATATAATAGGTATTAAGATGTTTTGTTCTTTTCTTGATTATTTTATTTTCTTAATTATTTCATTAACACAAAATTCACAACAGATGTTTGCCTCAATCCGAGTTATCAGTATACGAATACATCACAGTATGAATGAATAATAAATGAGGTGAAAATGTGCAAAAAGGCAGAGAAAGTAAAGAAACCCACTTGGTTGATTAATTTGAAAAACATATAGGAAAAAAAACATTTGCTGCTATGAGCAAACCAGTATCAGCTGACTTAATGTTACCTTATGGCCTTAAGGATATTTTCTATTGTTAAAATTTTACACAGAAAGTTTAGATTGGTAAAAAACTAACAAAGAAAAGCATCCCCCACAAAGTGTCTTAAGAATGATGCATCATAGAATAAAATGCAAACTCACGGCAATTCCTTTAGCTAAGTTTAAGCATTCTGAATTATCCAGTGTGTGCCATTTTTCACTTTTAAATAAAAGACTAAAAACGTTTTTCGAATAAAAACAATTGGTAAATGGCCTGTACTTATATAGCGCTTCTTCAAGTCAGGATAATGGACCAAAGCGCTTTACACTACATTCAGTCATTCACCCATTCACGCACACACTGATGATGTACAGTACAAACTACATTGTAGCCACAGCTGCCCTGCCCTGACAGAAGCAAGCTGTACACTGGCGCCTTCTGACCAGTATCAGTAGATGATGGTAAAGCAATGACTTAAAACTCAGTTTATTCTATGAATACTCACTGTGAACAACTCTATTGCTAAAGAAAATGTATATTGAGGCTTGTTCAGAATGTGCTGCAGCTGATTTGGTCAAGAAGCCTTTGGATTTTATTGAACATACTATGGAGCGATCCATCCTAATGGAAAATATAAAATTTGCAGTTTGGAACATCATGGTGGAAGCTGACTTACAGCATCTCCTACTGGCTGACTTAAATATACAGCAACTAAAGAAAAGCTTAACAGAGCAATGTTCAGAAATTTATGAAAATCTGATGACTGAAAAAGTCTAGTTCCAAGTATTAAATAGTTTGAAACACACAGCCAAAAAAAAAACAAACACTATTTGTTTATCAGAAAAATATGAAAACGCTAGAGACGCCCAGTCAGCCTCTCGATTGGATTCAATGAAAGTTCTATGGAAAGAATTGGTGATCAGATGCATAACAAGGATCCTCAGAAACGTCCAGATTTTAGGGCAGTTTGTGTGAAAAATTGGTCTAAATCCAGCTAAGGAATGCGAGTTATTCTACTTTCTCTATCCAGCACATACCGTTAAATTGCCTTTGCTAAAAAAGTTCCCCCATAAAGTACATTATACATTTCTGTTACTGTGTTCTAATATTTTACCAATCCATTTTTAAAAGAATAAACTTTGTGAAGACTTATTAGTTGTTGCAAGCGATACTGTGAATTTAATGCCATTGGTCCCATCAGAAATATTTACTTATTACTTATACTCACTATACATATGCATGAGCATTAAATAAAATATAACAAATATGTATTAAATATTTTGGAGTACATGTAAACATCTTACTAAAACAACTGGTATCTATTTATGTAATACAGAAATCAAGCCACCTATCAACCAGCTGAGGCTTCATAATGGACACTGTCTGGAGTGGAAGGCAGAAAAGTATGAGGAAGATACAGAGTTTTATAAGGCAAGATATATATATATATATATATAATCTTTCTCTGTGTATCGAAAGAGAACTTTTTTAACTCCTACTGTGCATGTGGATTCAATTATTTTAGGTAATTTATTTAGGATCCAGGGATTACCTGAAATCATTTTTAGACAAAGGACGACGTTTGTTGAGGTCCAAAGATGATTGGCTGAGGGTTTGCCTAAAGCTGCTTCCGTTGACAAACTACAGCATTTCTATCACAGCAGTAAAAGCCAGATTCACAGCTACCATCACAACCAACACCTCTTTAACAGGTACGACGCAATCTCCAGCATTAATAAATTATGAATATTTTACATTCATGCATCTATAATTATAGGTTGCCTTCTTCATATTGACCAGTGAACATGAAATACTGACTATATATACATCTTTATTCTGTGAAGTACCTCCATCACCAGTTGTCTACTACACGGAGTTGGAAACTCCAGTGCCAACATTGAGATTAAAAAGATCTCCCAACACGTTGGACCCCATTAGGTAATATCTCACTGTCCAACACTGACTCTGTGGCTCTGTTATGACAAAGTGTGTATGAAATTTCAATTGGTTGTGTAGTCAGTGCTATAATGTTTATACCTCTTCAACCTTTTTAGATTGTTTGACTTTAAAACATAACTATCAAATAGTTTCAGCTGGAATATCTGTGGAGTGGGATTTCTGGGATTTCACAACAGGGCCAGAAAAACAGTAACAGGGTATTGAAACTGCTGCAAAGGATATTGGAGCTCACATCAGTACTTATATACAACCCAGTCTCATTGGAAAATGTACCCCCACTACGTTGGTCCACACTGCAAAACGTAGTGGAGGTACATTAATGGCCATTTTTTTGTGGTACTGTTACATTTCTTCTGCCTATACGCTTTCTGTTGTTTTACGTCCTAGTCACGTGACTTTCAAGATTTCAGCTGGGAGAAGGAAAAAAATACATATATGGCCGACATTCGCTCATTTTTTTGTGGAAAGATTAATGACTTGAGTTTGTTTTTGCATTAAAATGAGTTTTGATTACATTTCTAGTGAGAAATGTATAGTTTGTTGCCAGAATATTTACTCAGGGAATGTACATATTCACTTGCTTGTTCGTTTCTTGCAAAGATTTTTCAAGATAATGTGAAACTGTAACATTTTGGTATAAACATGGCTGAGATTTCTCTAACTTTTAGTGGGAAAATCAATAATTTCAATCAGTTTCTGCATTTAAATGGGTTTTGATTACATTTATAGCGAGAAGTGTAGGGTTTATTTACATAATATTTACTTAGTGAACATACATAATCACCCGCTTGCTAGTTTTTGCTACGTTTTTCGGATCTCGTCAGGATTATGTGAAATTGCAACGTTTTGGCTGCTACCCATCGCCTAGCATTTAGCTGCCGCCCCGATTCAACATTGAATTCTTTGTGATTTAACTCCATCTGACGGATCAAACCCTCGCCACTGCGTGCGTTGCGTCTGAGGTTGATTTTCAGATCAATGCATTACGTCGTGGCATACGGGAGAAACTAATTAAACTAGTTAAAAAAAGGATCATGGGTTAAGATCGGATGTGTTTTATTTGGAAATCTACCGGATCCTTTGTGCATTTAACTTCCTGTTTGGTGCGATCTCATTGATGGATTTTGACCAGATTTTTTACCAAAGAGGAACTCAAAAAAATCAAAACAATTTAAATACACAACCAGCATATCTGGAATCAGTGACAGAGAGCGACTGGGACCAGAAGTTTATTAATTTCTCCCCATTGATTTCCATTCAAAATGTTTTCGCTCCCACCGGGCTCTATGGAAGGGGCGTGCATACCGCCACCTACTGTTCATGAGTGTGTAGCAACATTGTTTTACATCTATTAAATTCTATTTTTTAATTTTGTATTCTGAAGATAAATAAATAATGCTTTCCTTAATCTATAAATATCTTTTATATTTCCTTTATTTCCCAATAATCATTTAAGACTCCATTCTTGGCCTGTCCTTTCAACTCTTTTCAATTTCTTCCTTTCAGGTCCAGATGTTTTAAAGTTCATCAATACAAGTTCTACATTTTCTATCTCTCCACATCCTTCCCATTTATCATTATTTTTCATCCCTATTAAGTATAAATTGTCATTTAAATAAGTATGACCTACTCTTAATCTGATCATTATTATTTCTTCCCTTCGGTTTCTCTCATTAATATTTCTATTTAATACTGACTTTTGTACTTTATATAACCTTCTTCCTTTTTATCTTCATTCCACCTTTTTTTTTTTTGCCATTTTTCAATTTCTTTCCTCTTAATAAATGATTTTCCTTCCCCTTTCCCTAAAGGAATTGTAATTGTTATTTGTCTACTTTTCATTCAACCTAACTTTCCATTAATTAGCTTGAAAACAGCACTTTGTAGGCACCCAGTTTCTCTAACAATGGCCCTTTTTGGGTTACCCTCCATGCATTGGGTGTCAGTTCAGTGGCAGTTCCAGAACATTTTCTTAGGGTTGACCAGGCAGTACAATAATGTGCATGTGGCCAAAAAGTAATAGGGATCAAATTCGGTTCAGTCAAGCTATTGGGATCAGGCATCAGGTTCAATTTGCATATTTTCTTAGCCAAAACAAGGATTTGTTGGGCTACTGTAATTTTGAATTGAAAAACGTCCTGAATGGGAAGTCTTCAAACTTGAAAAACAAAGTCCAAAGTTTTTTTTTTTTTTTTTTTTTTTTTTTTTTGAATGATTATGACCTGGATGTCTAAGAATCTTCACCAGCTTATCAGGGAAATGAATGCCCACAATGTCTATATTCTCCAAAAGAGAATAACAGAACAGACCTTCATGAGGCCCTTGTTAAAGCTATGCACATATTTATGCATCTATGCTCTTCAAATAACTTTCTGGTTCGACTCAACATTTACATTAAATGGGTTGAGAGGTTGTTCTTTACCAGTAAATACATAAAAGATTCCCAGATGACTGCCGATACAAACTCTCCCCTATAAAACCTAAAACTAATTCTTATAAGAGAGTAAAATCTGTATTAGTCTTCATTAAATGTAGCATATTGTTGCAAATAATTGATTGCTTTATTTTTGGTGTCAGCTTTTGGTCAATATGCTAACCTTAAAAGGTCAAAGTGGGAAAATGTACCCCCACTACGGGTAGTAGTGGGGTAGTAGTAGACAAATTAGCAATTAGAGGAGGCAATAACAATTACAATTCCTTTAGGGAAAGGGGAAGGAAAATCATTTATTAACAGGAAAGAAATCGAAAAATGGCAAAAAAAAAAGGTGGAATGAAGATAAAAAGGAAGAAGGTTATATAAAGTACAAAAGTCAGTATTAAATAGAAATATTAATGAGAGAAACCGAAGGGAAGAAATAATAATGATCAGATTAAGAGTAGGTCATACTTATTTAAATGACAATTTATACTTAATAGGGAGGAAAAATAATGATAAATGTGAAGGATGTGGAGAGATAGAAAATGTAGAACACGTATTGATGAACTTTAAAACATCTGGACCTGAAAGGAAGAAATTGAAAAGAGTTGAAAGGACAGGCCAAGAATGGAGTCTTAAAGGATTATTGGGAAATAAAGGAAATATAAAAGATATTTATAGATTAAGGAAAGAATTATTTATTTATCTTCAGAATACAAAATTAAAAAATAGAATTTAATAGATGTAAAACAATGTTGCTACACACTCATGAACAGCAGGTGGCGGTATGCACGCCCCTTCCCTAGAGCCCGGTGGGAGAGAAAACATTTTGAATGGAAATCAGTGGGGAGAAAGATTTCAAAATAAAACACATCCGATCTTAACCCATGATCCTTTTTTTAACTAGTTTAATTAGTTTCTCCCGTATGCCACGACGTAATGCATTGATCGGAAAATCAACCTCAGACGCAACGCACGCAGTGGCGAGGGTTTGATCCGTCAGATGGAGTTAAATCACAAAGGATTCAATGTTGAATCGGGGCGGCAGCTAAATGCTAGGCGATGGGTAGCAGCCTAAACGTTGCAATTTCACATAATCCTGACGAGATCCGAAAAACGTAGCAAAAACTAGCAAGCGGGTGATTATGTATGCTCTCTGTCATTGATTCCAGATATGCTGGTTGTGTATATAAATTTTTTTTTTTTTTTTTTAGTTCCTCTTTGGTCAAAATCTGGTCAAAACCCATCAATGAGATCGCACTAAACAGGAAGTTAAATGCACAAAGGATCCGGTAGATTTCCAAATAAAACACATCCGATCTTCTTCTTCTTCTTCTTGTTGTGTTTATTGGCGGTTGGCAACAAACTTAATAGTAGCATTACCGCCACTTACTGGTATGGAGTGTGGCTCTCGTTGGTCTAACGCTCTTTTTGTATATATATATCTATATATACTCATACATACACCTACCAACCCACACAAACAAACTTACATCCATATTTATATTCTACTCATCACTATCATCCACACATTCACTCTTATGTCTACTCTATCAAATTCTACTGAATATCTTAGTTTTCTTTAAGAATCTAATAACTATTTGTATATGTTTGCTCTCCAAACTTTCCCTCAAAATATCTATTAACATAAATTTTACCTTAATACTTTCAAACTCTTTTATCATACATCTTCTCTCTCTTTCATATTTATCACATTCTAGAATAACATGTTCTACTGTTTCCCATTCTCCACAATATTCACATTTACCAGTTGCATGTTTTTGAATTTTAAAAAGTGAGTAGTTAAGTCCAGTATGCCCAAATCTTATCCTGGTTATCACTCTTTCCTCTTTTCTATTTCTTTTTCCCTTTCTTCTTTCTTTAACCTTCTTCTGAATTTTATAAAACCATCTTCCTGTTATTTCTTCATCCCACCTTTTCTGCCACTTTTCCATCAGTTTTTCCTTAACCATACTCTTTCCTTCAGCTTTACTTGTTTTAACTTTAATGCTAATTGGTTTTTGAATTGCCCCTTTTGCTATTTTATCTGCTCTCTCATTTCCTTCTATTCCAATATGCGCTGGAACCCATACAAAAATAACTATCACACCCATATTTTTAATTCTATATAATGTGTGAAAAATTTCTAATAATATGTCCATTCTACTATCCGATTGCTTGTTTTTAATACTTAATAATGCAGAACTTGAATCTGAACAGATTATTGTTTTTAATGGTTTTATCTCTTCTACCCATTGTAAGGACAATAAAATTGCCATCATTTCTCCTGTGTATACTGATAAATCGTCTGTAATTCGTTTTCCTATTCTTATATTGAATTCTGGTACAACAAACGCTATTCCTACTTTTCCAGTTATCTTTGATGCATCTGTATAGATTTGAATATACTGATAGTAATTGTTTAAATGTACCTGTACTGAACTACTATCAATGATGAAAGATTTATCCTGCTTCTTTTCCATGATTGTCATATCTACTGTTGCTTCTGGTAAAATCCATGGCGGTATTACTGATGTTGGTGTTGTATGACTAATTTCCAGAT